GAATATTTCCTATTGTCCCCCAGACTTGATTTTTCTTCTTTTTATGCTGCAAGTCAGTTCTTCTCCTTTGAAAGCTCACTTCAAAGTGCACTCTGCCTGGAAACTGTTTTCTATTGTTCCTCCACGTTGTCTGTGCCTTGCAGGTAGGCAAAATCTATACGACATTCTCAGGGAAGGCTCACAGTGTGATGCCGGGGATGATTGTGTTGTCTGCTAACACTCGCTCTTTCTCCCTCTCTGACTCCTTTTTCCATTTCAGAGTGTTTCCTTGAATGTGTGAGGTTTCTTTTTTTCAGGGTTTGCTCTTCTGCAGGTAAACAGACTTGCATTGAAAGACTACACACACACACACAATACAGAATGATTTAGCCCTGTATTAGATACTAAAACATGGAATGGCGTCCTGTTAAAAAAATTAACATCTTCTCAAAGGTCAGTGACCGCTAAAACCATTTCATCAGACAGAGTTAGGGACTTTTTTTTTACTTGGTATTCAGGAAAAGTTCTTTGTTTCTATTGGTTGATCTATCTCTGTCACTCACCCAGTGTGAAACTCAGTGAAAAGTGGCAGCTGCCTCTGAAGAGCCGCCTGGCTCAGTTTTAATAAATCATCCCAAGTCACTCTCTCAGTTGTGCTCTCTCTCCTCAGTCTCCCCGGCTTCGTCCTTTTCACTACTTATCTAAGCTTGCTGCCTTCCCCCTCTCCACCATTTTCTATCTCTGTTTCTCCATTCTCTTTCCCTCTCCTCCCTTCTTCCCTGTCTTTATCTTTTCCAGCTGCCAATCTCTTCGTCCCTCTCCTACCATCTCCAGCTCCCCCTCTGTAATATGCAGCATCCTCTTCCTCTCCTTCACTCAGTCTCTCTTCTTTTCCAGAAGTCTCCCTTTAGAAGCTCTTATCTAAAGTTGCTCAAAAAGAGCCTCCTCCTGTGTCATCTCCTCTGGGAGTGCTTATATATGGAGTCTCTTCTAAAAGCTCGGGGTCCTTGGATGGAGTCAGGTACTGTGAGTTCCTCGCTTTGGTGAAGTGATTGCACAAGTATTGTAATAATTTCCAGAGAGAAACTTTTCTCACTCTCTGACCTTTCATCAGATTCCCCCTCCTTTTTGTCCTCACACACCCCTCTGTGGCCATGTTGCCCTTTATAACAGCTGCCAAACAACAAAATTCATAATAGCCTTACAATGAATGGATACACTGTGGGCTGAGGACTTTATTACACTGCTGCAGACCCCGAGTGGCTAAACGGGGGGAACCAGGACATTTGTGGTGGGCCAGGCTGATTGTAGGGCCGCAAGAGCCTGTTTACACTGACAGTAAATACATGAAACAGGCTGCGCTTGCTACCAGTATGAGTAGTCTACTCAGCTACACAATATTTGTGCTTCCATAGGCTGTATCAAGTGTCAATCATAGAAAACATGAACCTCCTAATAACTTTGAAAAATTGAGCTGTACAGAAAAAAGAGGACTTGAGCACAAACTAGTCTTACAGTAACTACATGTCAACATCGCAAAGCAGGGGGGAGAGAAAACTATATTCTGTGTAATAAACTTCTAAAGTTTGTCAACAGCTCCACAGGAATTGCTGGAGGAGGCTGGATTTATGACCTATACTGCAGCCCGTCACCAGAGGGTGCCGTTCTCGCAGTGGCTTCACCCAGCGAGGAGGCAGACAGCGTCCTTTCTATATATCCATGTAGAATCTCATTCATCCAGGTCATGGTTTTCTTGAAGACTTAAAAACAGGTAACTGGACTGTGTAGAGTTGAGAAGACGTTTCGCCTCTTATCCAAGAAGCTTCTTCAGTTCTAAGATTGCTAGTGTGAGGAGCAGATATTTATCTTACTGGAGAAGGGGACAGACAACGACTGGGAGGAGTTGAAAAGAATACACAGTCCAGTGAACTTGAAATCCTTTCTATATACAGTCTGTGATCAGACCAGAAACGCAAACTCAGGGTTCTCAGTGAGTCTGTTTTCTTCATTCTCCTTGTAAATAAGTGAGATGTAACCACCCGTCCTCTACCGAAGTGAATGAATTTGACTTAACAAGGCCCTGGTGTCTACGCTATGTTTTTGACTACCACACCTTACCTTTGTTATAATACATTATGATATGTAAGATATGATACAGGAAATGTATCTAACTTTATCTCTTCCACTCTAATTCTGTCACCTTTTATTCAGAGAATGACACTGACTTCATTTCACTGTATGTAATAATGAAATAAATGTTAGCTGTGACACAGAGGGACACACACCTGTAACAACAAGGCTTTGCTCTTAGCTTCCTCCCACCCCCAGCCCTGCCTTTCGTCTCTCTCTCTTCCTCTCCCACACTATGCACTGAATAAATTCCATGACTTGATATTGTTGCTGAAGCTTTATTACCATACCAACTAGGTTGTGAGGGCAGAGGGAGTTCATAATGCTGCAGCGAGAGGGATACTTCTCTCTCTCTCTCTCGATCTGTAACTGCTGATTGCAGACACAGAGTGCACTGGCATGGAAAAATATGCAGCACAGCAAATCCTTGTTAAGACCCAGCAATCTGTTCTCAGATCTCAGACTGTGTTGGATGCAAATGTTTCATTTAGCTAATTAGGTTCTTTATAAGATGGGGCTTTCTTTAGCAAGAGGTTCAAAGTATAAGTTGCTTTTTCTTTTTTTTTTTATGGAAAGTATACACTATCAAGGGACAGCAGCAGGGATGACTCCCTGTAACATGATTTGCTTAAATGGTAATTCAGTATTTTGGGAATTTACTTTATTCAGAGTTAAATGAGCAGCATGACTTGATTAGAGGGAGATCGTTAGAGAAACAGAGTCAATCTCTGTCTCAAAGGACACACTCGACTCAAACACACCTCTAAAGGTCACGAATGGATGTTTATGGTTGTTTTAGATTACTTTAATGACTGTACATGTGTGACACAAAGGCGGTTTAAAACTGGGACGTGGTCTCAGTGACATCACCTATTGGTTTTTAATGAGGGGTTTTGACGCCCAATGGCGGCAGATGTCATAATGGACATGCTGACTCCACTTTCACTCACTGACAGTGAAGGTTTTTTCAAAAAGTCAAAATTTTTAAGTCTCAGTTTTTTCATGTGGACGAGAAAGGCTGACATTACCTCAACTTGCACATAGTAATTATTGTTCATGCACCGAGAAGGCAGGCTAGTGGTTTAAGTCTGCCTGGTACAATTAGGCTTAATTGCATATGTAACAGAAATATTCAACAGCATCTGTGCTGTGAGCAGGAATTTTTATGGCAGAGAAATCTCCCTCCACCCTTTTTTATGTCTGTATTTGTGATGACATAGCCTCAGTCTTCTCATTCCATTCATTAGTGTGCATTGTGGAGGGACAACCGGAGAACCACATATTGTCATGTGAGTCCTCATGCCTGCAAACTTTCTTTTAGATGATTTAATGTGTTTATTCTGTTATCAATCCGTGAGCTTTACAAATGTGGGTTTGCAGTTCTTGTTAGCTTTAGACTTAGCCAAGCTTTATGTTTGTTCTTCTAAAGTAGGCTTAGCTAAACAACCGTGAACTGTAGCTCCATATTCAGCGAGGCATAAAAGTGGCATCAATCTTTCTAGGTGAGAGAGTTTACACCCACTCCAAGAACTTCAAACTAATTCATTGATTCAGTCTTTTGAGTGATGACATCCTTTCTGACTGAAATTTGATTTTTTTTTAAAACCCTATTCAGGCTGAGAAAAGTTACTGTCAAACTGTAATGCAGCCGCCAAAAGTTGTACCTCAGTCACAATGGCCATTTCATTTTTATTCCACTTTAAGCCAACCTTAAGATCAGGTCACGGAAAACTCCGGGAGGTACGTCACGAAAATAACTGGCGCTGCTCTGGGCTATACACTGGTAAATAAATAATATTGCTTCTGAGACATCTGCACCAACATGTGGGTAAACACAGCAAGCCAATATCTGCTCACAGCATTCAGCACACAGCCTCCTTTCAATCTCTCTGGTAAACAGTCTGGGTAGGGGGAGATTGAAAACAGCAAGCACCCGCACCCAGATTTACATTCCAATCAAGTGACACCCCTGTCAGAAAATGTCTTCATTTTCTCTGCACTGAAGCACACACTCACACACTCCATCATTACCAAGATGCACACATAGCAAACAAGCACACCCCATGGACCCAAACTCTCTAACTTCAACCACATTAGAGCTGGTATCAGCGGCATAGTGCTGCATTTTGGTCCTGTTCTGAGTTCCATCTCTCGTCTCTGTCCCTTGTTACTGTGAAGATGATTACGGTTTTGTTGAAAGCCTTTTGTAGACAAACACATAGAGAACTAACCCCATCTATTAGGATCATCTCTTAAAAGATTTAATTAACCCTGAGTCTCTCTAGAAGGTGCTAAGACATAAAGATTATCTCTCATATTTCTTTTTATTCACTTTAGTCTCTAGCGTTACTTTGGCAAACAACAGGTTCTTTTTCCAAAATAAAAGTCTCTTTTGTCTGAAGAAAATTCAGATGATATATGCTTAAAGGGAGTAATATATCATAATAAAAGCACCACAAATAACAGTCTTCAAGGCTGTCTATTAGTTAGATTCTGCCTTTGCTCTTCATTCTGATACTATGAAGAAAATGGGGAAGCATTTAAAGGAGCTCAGACAGCCGGTGCATGGCTCTCCGACACCTGAGGTATGTCTCAGTTGACCTTGTCAGGGGCTATTGCTTCCCCAATGATGTTTCCTCCCTGGGAAAGTCAAAAACGCTGCTTCATTTGACGCAAGGCAAGGCTCATTAAAAACCCATTTGGCTTCCCTTGTGTTTATACTTTGAAAAGAATAATAATCCTTGATGGTGCAAACTTTTAAATGTCACAGTCCAAATGTCAGCGGAGAGTAGCGGCAGCCTTACGCTACATATGACACGACCTGAAGCAAGTTTAGAATGTTAACAAGACACTTGAGCGCACTGCTGTTAAGATTCAAAGTACAACAGGAGTAATGTTTTATGCACTTTATTCAGTTCATAAATCAATCAATTAATCACTTACATGAAGCAGATCTAAACTGTTATACAAATATGAGAGACCGAATAGTAATCCAACATGAACAAGCACTTGGTGAGAGTGGCAAGAAAACTTCTATGTATGAGCAGAATCCACAAGCAGAGCCCGACTCATCGGTAAACAGCGATCTGCCCAAACAGATTACTGCCTTTGAATAATGTGTTAAGACTCAGTGAATAATGAATGTAGACGTGCAAAAGAAATGTTTTCTGGAGTGTCCACTGAAGGATTTTAATACTCTGATTTTAACTGCAGAGTTTAAATGCTGACGGCATGAGACAAGAAAGTTTTAGTCTCTGTTGCTCATTTCTTTATCTGTCTTGTCAAGGGTGCGGCTTATTTGATTGACAGGCTAAAGGACCACCCTCAACTCTACCTTCACTAACCAGTCTCTACATCAGCCAAAAGTTCAGCAAAAATAACATTTCCAATACTTTAAGTGGGCTTCATAACCCTCATTGGGAGCCAAGGTGGCATCACTGCACAAAGGAATATTCGGGCCACATGACTTTACTCTGATCGGTGCTCCTTTAACAACCTTATACAACCTTATTACCACCTCCAACCTTGAAGTTATTCTTATTCTTACTACGTTTTCATTCTTCAGTTCACAGTTTACAGTGGGTCACTGACCCGGAGCTCCCCAGCCTTTTGCCTAGTCTTCCCATTTCATTAGTTAGGTCCCAATTTGTTTTTTTATTCCCCTGAAAAACACGGAACAGATGAAGCATTGTCAACCTAAAATCAATAAAATATGAAAATGTATTTTAAAATCAGTTGAAAACAACAGAACAGCAGATATCAAAGTAGAAGTAAAAGAAACTGACAGGAGAGCTGCAGTAAACAGTAATGTTTTCAGCCCTGATTTAAATGAGCTGACTCTTTGTACGCACCTAAGGTGCTCAGGGAGTTTGTTCCACAGGTGAAGTTTTTTTTGGCCTTTTTTCCTTTCTTAATGTGGCATTGATATTCAGTAATATATCTGAGTCTACTCCCACCTTTTAAACAATTTATGGTGAGGACAAAATAACCTCAAGCAAGTAGATCTCAGCTAAGTCCACAGTTAGTTTCACAACAGGAGTATTTTTCATATTTTTATAAGTTATTGTTTATTGTTGAAGCGCTTAGTCACAAAAGGAGTTATCTTCGGACACTTCACACAAAGAGCAGGTCTACACTGTAGCAGCACACATTTTTGCACTGAGGCTGCTCTGTTACACTGGCAAGGGAAAACTCATTAGCCCAGAAACCTCAGGCAGAACCGGACTTATGGGTGGACAGCCGTCTGCCTTGTAACTGTATGGTAGGTCAACGTGATGGATTCAAAACTGTGGAAATAACAAGGATAAGTCATAAAAACAATGCAAACTCAGAAATAGGTTCCAGGTCCAGGTGATCCATGGCAGCTCAGTCCAGCTGTGGTGGTCAGTCAGTCAGACAGACAGGCAGGGAGACAGACAGGCAGCTCCACTGGCTGCAACACAAGACACGAGCGGGGAGGAGAGGCAGGACCCATGTCCTGTGTTGCAGCCCCTGGCCCAGCCGACGGGTCACCTTCAACTCAGGGCGGACATCAGCTGATCCGCTATAAAGAGGAAGACAGGGAGACACAGAGGAAGGAAATAAGAGGGGGGAGACCGAGGAAGGATGAGAGGCAAAGTCAATTACAATAGATCCTGTGTGAGAGACGGAGGGAGCAGATGGGAGAAAATGGGAGGGAGAGAGTGACAGACAGTGGTGGGACCAGAGAAAGAGACGGAAAAATGAACACGAAGGCTAATGGAATAAAGGAAAATACTAATGGAGATCAAATGAGAACGAAAAAAGAGAGCGCCAAAAGAGGCGAAGCACCCACACAGACACCACATTCATCACCTGCCCGCTGAAAATAGTCTTTCTCACCTTGGGAAGAGCTGAAACCAGCCACATCTCACATCCACCTGGAAAAAAACTCTCCTCTGGCCCAAATTGCCTGACTAGAAGGTTAATGACTACCAGTGCCAGGGGTCCTCAGAAAAAGATCAGTTTGCTATGTCCTTATATAAAGGCCCTACAGCAGAATCGGTGAATGTCATGGGGAATAAATGTAATCATTATTACACTATTGAAAAGAAATAGGATCTGTTGGGCATAGAAATTGGAGATATTTGCAGGCAGACTGTTTTTTTATTCCTCCCTCATTTGTCATCAGAGCGGTGGAAGGCGTGCAATCAGTTTCCAAACAAACGCCATGCCTCTGTTATTCGGTCTTGTCTTCTGCTCGTCTCTCTCTCTCAGGAGGAGTCCATCGTCATGTAACAGGGATTAAAAGGTCAGAGCTGAGTGAACCCTGAGCTGTGTATCACAAACAAAGGTCTGAAAATGTCATGGCTTCACAGACACGCCCTCGATCTGCAGGAGGAACATCAACAGGCAAGAGAACAAAAATAATCAAGTAGCTTTTTTTCTCGCCGTGACATTGATCCCACATTTATCCCATTTCTGTCACGTTCGTTCCCCAGTCTGAGGAACATTTCAAAGATGCTTACATCAGCCTCTGAAGCAAAACTGGAGCCTGTGAAGCATTTAGCAATTACTTTACTTTTCTTCCATCTCTTGCCAAGGTCCTTGTATGAAAATGGGTCCAACCTAGATTTGAGACTACAGGGATATGAACTCAGAGGACGGATGAAAGGACGAAGCAAACGAAAAAAGGAAGGAGAGCTAGAGGCAAAATTCAATTCATCTAACCCTTGTTCCTATCCTGGATAGAAGGAGAATACAATATTTGAAAAAGGGAAACACAGTTGGGATTTTAAATAGGTTTTGAACCGGAGTGAAATCTTCGAACGCTTTAAAGGTAACAGCGTTGGATGGAATTGCATTTTATCAGAGATACTAGAGAGTCGGCCAAACTCTTGGGAATGATCCTTTTGAAGCATGCTGTCAGGAATAGCTGATTTTAGGCTTCAAATGCATAAGGCATTGCAGGGCGGTGACTCCTTTTGTAATCGAAATCAGAGCGAATCCTTCCCCTGCCTTCATATAGGACGTTTGACAAAAATAGGGACTAATAAAGGATGGAAACTGCTCAAGGCAACCTGGCCTCCGAGAAAGAGGCCACCCAGATCCTTCATTTAATCGTTGACGTGGATTGCCTTTCATTAGCGAGGCAACAATGGGTTTTGACAGACCTAAAATGACTTTGCCTGCTGAAACGCAGCAGACACTGTGTGCAATTACTCGGACTCGTAATTGAAGTATTGATGTTGAGTAATAAGTCGCACTTATTCTCCACAATCAGGACGATGAATGTAATGGATACGTGCTGTGCATGTCTCACACAAGACTTCATCTTTTGAAAAGAGCCTCCTCTTTTCAGAGACTTGCACAATAGTTGACTTAACAATAGCGTATTGTGCCAGCTGTAACAATAGCATGGCTTTTATGATCAACGTGTTATATATGGAGGCAGATTTGAGCTTCTTGGCAGATCACAGGAAGAAGAGCATGAGTGGATCTAACGTCAACAAGGACATAATCTGAGTGAACAAAGGGAAAATCAGCATACCAGATTCCAGAGATTTACATAACCAGACTTCAAATGTATGCTTAGTGATATCCTTGTTGTAGAAACTCTTCTTTAATGAGGCAGTCTGAGGGCCTTAATAAAAAGGAAGAGTAGTCAAAGTACTCGTGGCCATTACTCAAGCTGTTTATTATCAGTACAATGCATCACCGCGTCGATCCATCATGTGACAGATTGACAGCAAAAAATAAAACAAAAAAACAAGCATGCATACATTTGCATGCAAGTAAGTGAAATATGACAAGTTGTTGAGTAAAGGAGGAGACGCTGCTTCTTCAGCAGTTGGATTTGATTTAAGAAGGAATGATAAGCAGGTCTTTTCAGGCAGCAAATGCAATTATTTCTTATAGAGAGGCATAATTCTGGATTTTTATAAATGTAAACTGAGATGTTGATACTGTCTAATCAATATAAGCTCCAGTACCATCCAAGTACCTTAATAGGGTGTAGAAGTCTGAATCTCCCACCACTCTAAAAAGCTGGTTCCTGAGTGCAGCGATAATTTTCTTGTTAAGCTTTGTGTGGTTCTGCTTTATTTCTTAGCTAAATGACTGGAGTAGAGTCTACTTCACACTCTTGATGCTGTTCTGGTTGACAGGTCTTAAAATGCATTAAACTGTTATCTTGTTTTGCTCAGCCTTCCTTCACTTGAGCTTTACAGGTATTGCAGACGCTCTCTTGTTGTTTTTGTCTCCTACTCATGCGGTGGGCATGTTTAAACTTGTCATTGTGTGTACATAATTAATGCCTTGACTTATCGGCCATAGAAATGTGCAGATATTTTTGTCTGTGCTAATTGACATTTTAAGCTGCAGTGCTGACAATACTATGCGTCCCTACTTTTTTGAGTGAAGTTTACATGTGAGTCAGCCACAAGTCCATTTATTTCCACGGGAATTTCAGTGATATTAAATGAGTTTACAGAACTTCATTCGATTGGAATAGTCTGGTCTGGAATCTGCCTCAATTACATACACAAAGTTTGACTTTTTTTGTTGGATTTTGGAGACTTCATGAAAGTGCGCTTGCTTAGCTAATAGTCTCTTTTCATCAACTCAGTCGCCTATGTTGATATTCAAGGGAGTTGATGTAAAAAGGCTTGTTTATCTTGTTTTAACATTATAAATCTGAGTAACCTGCCAAAATGTGATTAAAGCAAAATTTTGGTATTTTTCAACTTAGGCTCTATTCCTCATGACTGATGGGAGGAACAATTTCTGAAACTGGTCCAGTACTGAGGGAGAGCAGAGCAACTGGCATCCACAAAATGAGCTAAAACCTAGTTTAACCAGGTGATTGCGTATTGTGAAACTACACATGCTTTATACTGTACTAATACAATAGCTATACTGTGAAGGTTGTGTTTACCTTTAACGCTTGTCTGTGCTTTTAAAGGGTATGTCTTTATACACCAACCCGCTATCATTTCATTATGAAAAGCACATAATGGAAGAAGGCTTTACTATTCCTCCGCGCTCCTCTCTTTGTTATTCTCCAGGGGTACACAACCTTTTTACTGAGAACATAGCTGGTCCCTCCACTGGGTCCCTTCCCCTCGGTGTGTTGTGAAAAGAGCCACTGTTCTCTTGGGTTCTGGATGCCCAGATCGTCCAAACAAACACTGTTTATAGAACCAACATCTTTGTTCTCAGAAAACCTGATTATGCATGGTGCTGCAAAGTAGCCGGCACCAGCAGCTTTGCTTCCCAAATGCATAGGTTCACTCAGGACCATAGAAACACATCCCCCATTGTCTAAAAATGGGCGTCAGTGCTGAAATCTATCAGGACTTTAGCTCTGAGGCATTGGTTAAAAAAAGAACTGTATAAAGGAGGAAAATGTAACAAGGTCGAATAACCAGATCACTTGGTGTTTTTTGATTCTTCCTTGTTCTTCTATCAAGAAACACAGTCCATGCAGGGTGTTTAGTCGAAAATAGCGCAAAAGGAAATGAAGTCTCTGGGTGAAGAGGAGCAGAGCAGTTTCCAGTAACAGTTGAGTGAGTCAGCCCTCTTCTCAAATAATCTCCATGGAGGGAGTAATCACTTCAAATGCTGAATATGAAATTATATTTATCAGACTGAGTGGCTTGATGAAACAGCGTCTTAAAGCCATCAGACTGCTGATTGTGAATGAAGTCAAATCTCTGAGCTGCTGTCCTTGAAGTAAATGAAAATGTTAACTCCCCACAAAGAACGCTGTCAAGACAACTTCCAACCTGTGCAGAGACTTTCCGGAAAGTGATGCAGTAACCTTGGTTTTTTTTTTTTTTTGGTTCCTTTATGAGGCTACGTATCCTCATTGTGATTTGAAGAATGACTGGGTGTGCCTGCAGAGGTCTTATTGTCAGAATGATCAATGAAAAAGACACATGCATGAGCAGACATGTGTGCAGCAGCTGCTAAAAGTTGGAGATAAGCTCATGATTAGCAAGAAAAGATGTTTACCCTAACGAAGGAGTCAAACTGATGCAGCTGGGTATCAGGACACAGCATGAAAAGTGACTCACTCAGTGACCTTATTGCCATTAATTATTAACTCAAGTGGATAATTACTCTCATTAGAGGAAAAGCTGGACTGTTACACTCAGCAGTTTGAGAAGTAGGGGAGTTCTGCAGGGGGATGACCTCAGATAACGGCAGCACATCATTGTGATTCATATCAGTACGCAAAGGATTGAAGTGAGCCCTCCAGTGTCGTAGTGGTCTCAAAGGTGCACCACACACACAGACGGCTGCAATCACACAGAGATACAGCACATCCCAAGCTTTCTCAGCATAATTGGAGTTGGTGTTGTGTTTCGGGATTGATAGCCGGCTCACTGGCCGCTGCTGGGATTTACTTTTCCCTGCAGATGCTGACAGGACACTTTGGGGTGTCTCTGTTCCTGTAGAGGTGAAAGAAGAGACCCGCCACCCCTGAATGTGAGGGAGGTGCATGAAGACTGCAGGTTCTCATCCCTGCAAGCGAAACAGATTTTAAAGCTCATGTTCCCTCTTGTTATGCTGAATCTAAGCACTCAAAAAAAAAAGAGGCAAAGCTTAGGGAAAATTTCTCATGTTGCTCTGTGGTAATCAGTTTCCTTACACTTCCAGGCAGCCTTCAAAGACACCCTGACACTTCAGTGCTGCCTCACAGTTACTGATTGATCTCCACAGACGTCAGGTTTCCTGTGCCCTGCAGGAAAATTAACTCCATTTTTAACTGCACATCAAGCACCCTACAAGTCTTTGATGGTGCGTTTTTGGCTCATCACATCAACAACATTCATTCGTGCCAATTTGCAGTGACACCCCAGAGTCAGTGAAGAGGAAATCATCCAGCCTACCTTTCCATCGCCGTCCTGGAGCTTTTTCATTACAGCAGCACAGCAGCATAGACGGGATAAGGATGTGGTGGCACTATGAGAAGACTGTCTGTCTCTCAGTATGAATCGCGAAGCAATTTAGTCCAGGTAGTGAGGGAAAATCCGTTTATCTGGTCACTACTCCTGACGCGGAGCTGCAGCGCGTGGCTATTGCAATCTTGTGCTGAAGCGGCAGCCTGACAGCGGCTGATAAAGTGAAGATTTACTCGCGGACAAAGTGAGGAGCAATCCCTCACACTTTAGCTTACTCCATCAGTTTCTGCGCGCTCTGTACTGGCCCAGTGATTTAATATCCCTTCATTGGGTCTGGTGGCAGCACGCGCCCCCTCTCCCCCCCATATGAGCGTTCACGCACGCGCGCACACGCACGCCATGCACAGAGGGAAAGAAGTGTCACCTGCAAAGAACCGAATTGAAGAGGGCTGCACAGCCGTTAACGTTTCAAATCTAATAATAGAATATTCATTGCATTTCAACCTCAATTCACATAAAATGACAAAAAGGCATAAAAATACTCAACACAGCAGCCTGATAAGGAGGAATCACTATTTTATTCCCTTATATTCTTATCTCCAAAGTTCTTACAGGAGCACAAAATGATGAAAATGCACACCATGGAGTTAAGAGGATGACATCAGACTGAGGTTATCTGTTTAAAACTCATGTTCATGCCAAGTTGTAATGGATTATGAATAGACGGTCCCTCAATTTTCACATACAAAGGTGTAAAACTTACCGTTATATGCCAATGATGAATATTCCGTGTAAAGATGTGCGTAAAACGCACCAGTCAGACAGTCCGGAGGCGAGAGGAGCAGGAGCAGAAGTGTCGTCAGTGCGGTATTAAATTCCCTCCTGGGTTGAACAAAAGCTCTTTGTAACTTATGTCTTGTCATCTCACGTCTCTGTTCCACCGGGCGTGTGTCTAACCGGGTCGCCTTTCCTAATACCCGCACCCAGGAGGGTAGCCTATCCATCAGTGCGCACTCTGTAAGCTCTTCCCCTCGCTGCTGCTGCTGCCTTGGAAATATCCAATCTCACATTGAAGCTTTCTATCTCCCTGCAGAATTCATCTGGAGACTCAAAGCATGTAACGCCCGGATCCAGCAGGACTTTTTAAGACTCCAGAGAGAACTGTAGTCGAGTCCTTGTCGGATGACATGGGCAGATGAGCGTTTTCTTGACTCGAGAAAGACGGTTGGCGCTCTGATATGCGCAGGATACAGCAATAATGATGTCAACATACTCCACTGTCGTGTTACACTGGTCATAGTGACTGTCCAATAAGATCTAGAGTATGATGACATCAAAGGGTGTCTGTAGTAGAGCTGGGCTATGTTGAATTTATAAGTTGTTTTGTTTGCAGCTTATTAGAAATGCAATCTTGAGTCATAGTGTTGGAATTTCACCTTGACCCTGTAGTTTTTGATTGATAATTAGAAATAAAACCTGACCTCAAACTGACCTGACTTTAACCCTGCAATTTGACCACATCACAAATGAGCAACATTAGAGTCAGTATCAAATCAGATTAATTCTGGCAATACAAACATCTACGTAATCATTTGTTATATCATTATTATGTTATTTTACATCTTTAAATCGGATTTTTAAGGGTCAGCCATTTAAAGCAGAAGATTGCTTCCTTCAAATAAATACAATAAAGCGGTCCAATCATGAATTTCGACTGCAGTGCACTTCTAAAGTACTCAGGTTCCCACAATGCACCTCGGCAAAGTCGCGTCAGATCCTCGCGACCTAACGTGCAGTTGTTCTGAGCAGCGACCAGCCTTGGTTAAATGGAAATATTTCTAGTGTTTAGTGGTTGTTACAGATAAAGCACAGTTTCAGTGACCCTAGATCAACTTGACGCCGACTTAAACGTTTTCTAAAGAAGTTTAAACACGGTGGAGTTGTCGCAACTGAGTGTCTTCACGTGCCGCAGCAGTTAGCTTCCCTGTCTGAAGATGAAAACTGCACCGGGGGAAACAACACTGAAGTTTCTGGTCGGGGCGTCGCTGTTTTATGAAGAGAAATGCCCGGAGCTGTCACGGTTTCTCATGTGAGAAAATTTCTTCTTCTTGAAGTCATTCACCACCTGACTCCTTACTTTCTGTCGTTTATTGTTGTAGTAATTGTAGCAAGTGGCCGCTAGGTGGAGCAGCTCGACCGGCGTTATGGTTGACTCCCTGATACGATGACATCATGATAACGGTTTAAGGAATGAAGCGAAATTTTCAGCTTTACAAACTTTAATTTCCATATTTTGGGAGGATATTTGAAATAGTCTGCTAGGAAAGAAAAGATATTCATTGTTTTTGGGATGATTTCTCTGTATGGCTCTCTATGGCTTCTTGGGTGAGATTATAATGTGGTGCCTACAATTTTAGCAAGGGTGCAAATGTTATTTACAACGATTACATATCAACCCCACAACCAGGATATATTTGAGTGTATCTAACCTTGAAAGTGCTTTTATTGTCAAGCATGAATGTCATTGTAGTTTCGATGGATTGAAAAAAACACCAGCTGCTATTTTTATTGCTAGAAAGGCCGATTGAAGTTGCGTTATCTGACAGTTGTTCCGATTTGAGGTGCTGTAAAAGGCATGCCAGATGCAGCTCAAACACTGCTGTCATTCAGTCTTGAGTGTTTTTAAAATGAAGTTGTTAAAGCACCAACCCACAGACATGAAAACAAGAGCTTCACAAAGAAAAAAAGTATTGAAAGTGAGAAAAATTCTTTCAAACCGCTCAGTAGATGTGGAAGTCTGTGAGCCCTATCTACTCTTGTGTCCTTTGCATTGTTGTTGAAAAGACCCAAACACTGGTTGTGGTCTCTCATAACAGATAATGTCTTTGTCTAATGGGCCACCTGGAGCCAGGTCTGATTATTATTTCTATTAGACTGACGCACACTGAGCATTAATCCCTGTTTCTAATTTTTGTTATCATTTACAGCTCACTGCTCAAGTTTTTGAGCCTTTGCCAGAATAGAAATCTGTTCCCTCTTTATCTGATGATGTGTCCCACTCCGTGGTGATTGCTTTATTGTGTCGAAAATGAAAGCCAAAAGTAATTTCAGGTGAAATCCTCTAAAGCCCTCTTTGTGTGTGTGTGTGTGTGTGTGTGTGTGTGTGTGTGTGTGTGTGTGTGTGTGTGTGTGTGTGTGTGTGTGTGTCTCATCAAGGATTACAGGTGCACTCTTTTTCTGTGTGCCCTGGTTTTCTTTATCATGGTGGGTATTTTGGGTGTTAGGCCTGCATGAAATTATGGAGTGAAAAGGTGCAAACACATTTTTGTGTGCTATGATGAAGATACAATATGTGTTGAATAATTGAGAATAAATAGCTATTTCTGTATTTTTGAAGCACGTTTTTTTTTTAGTTTAATGTGAAATTGACGGTAGAGCTGACAGGCCTGCAAAGCCACAGCTTTCTTACAGACTGGATCAAGTTGGTTCAAGTGTGGCTCTACTGAGAAATTCTCAGCACTCAACTTTTCAATCAGAAAACCTGTTTGTTTTTTTTCTTTAGCTGTAAATGCAACATAGACATGCGCCTGCATAGGCATGCAGTACACAAACACACTTGCATCAAACACAAAGATGCAAGACGTCTTAACAAACTGGTGAAAAAGGCTGGCTCTGTGGTAGGACTCAAGCTTGACTCAGTGGAGGATGTGGTGGAGAGATCTACACTGAGGAAGGTGGAGACTATTCTCAAGAGCATCACCCACTTCACAACACCTTGATGGACCAAAGGGCCAATGGTGGTGGACGGCTCCTCTCTCTTCGCTGCAGGACAGAAAGATTCAGAAGATCTTTTGCACCAACAGCCATTACACTTTATAACTCTTGTGTAAATAGTAGATAACTGTTAGAGACACATTTTGTGCGACAACAGACAATTCAATTTCCCTTCGGGGATTAATAAAGTTATTCTTATTCTTACTTAAACCAAAATGAGTGCTTGGATTGAGGTCTCTCAAAATTAGCTACATCATGTTGCAGACTTGACTCTGTCTGCAGAAAACTGTAGCCTGCTGTTTCTACGAGCAACTTCCCATTAAAGGGGGAAAACTGACTAGGATCCATTGTGGCAAGTGCACATACTAGTGACATGTAACTCAAACAATCCCACATCAAAATACTGAAATATCCCTGTTGGAGCCTAATATGAAACAATGACCCAAAATGTAATAAAAAATAATGTAATAAAGCCTGGAATGTGATCATTGGTCAATAATGTAACAAAAGTGTTGTTGAGCCCAAAATGTAATAAAATTAATCTAATAAAACCCAAAATCTAATAACTGACCCAAAATGTAAGTTGCTACATTTAGGGGAAAAAGTTATGGCGTTTTGGGCACAGTATCTTTTTACATTATCGACCATTAATTACATTTCGGGTCATTGCTACATATGGGGCTCTAACAGCCCCTTTAAATTGTGCATATTTGGTATAACCTTGATGCATTTGATTTGCCTGAATCCAGGACACTTGGTCAAATACAAAGCAGAGGGGCTCTTGTTTACTCTTTGTTCTTTTTTCATCCATTGTACTAGCTGGCCTCTTAGTGAAACTGACACCGATCAAAGCTAAAGGTTAACAGCTGCTACATCTGTTCAGCCACGGGTGTGTGTGTGTGTGTGTGTGTGTGTGTGTGTGTGTGTGTGTGTGTGTGTGTGTGTGTGTGTGTGTGTGTGTGTGTGTGTGTGTGTGTGTGTGTGTGTGTGTGTGTGTGAGTGTGGACTCTTGTTGCCAGTGTTGAAGTTGGGTTCCAGCCATGTTCCTGTATCCTCGGGCTTGTTTTCACTCCGACCTGAGCCAGGAAAGTTGTGGGCGAAACCATGAATGGAAACAAAAACCAAAGTTATAAGAGGGAAACCCAAAGTCAAGATGGTTATATGGGAGCATGTGAGCCCAGTGCTGCTTTAAAACATCGATCTGTTCTCCAGATTCCCTTCCTATGATGACTTGTGGTTAAAGAAAAGGAGTTGACCACATTTCACTTTGGCCAGCTTGGAACATACAAACCAGAATGTTATGAGACCTGGTGGGTTTCATGCCAAAGTGAGTGTCCAAGAGGACTGCTGCATTTGATCATTTGGTCTGCAGCTGGAGTGTAAATATAGAAGGAAACTGCTGCTAAAGACAAACAGAAGCCTTGGATGCTCAGTTGATTGGTAAACTGAGAAGGAGTCTTCTTTTTTGTTGCCTGTATCCACTTGAAAAGCCACCCTATGTGGTTAGTGATGATGTTTTTTATTCCTAATCAACCACAACTGTCCGTTTTCTTCTGGGGCTTTCCAGTGCCATCCTCTTCACTTTTTGGTTTTGGCTGTGTGTCACTGAGCGTGTGGTTTGTGGATGTGTGTCAGTACTCATACACAGGACTGCACATATTCGTTAGGGATTGTGTTTCTGCCTTCTGCGGCTGTCTGCACCTTCTGTCAAGCTGATGATGACTGGAGCGTGAGTGTGTATGTTTGCCTCCAGGTTACAATTAGGTTGAAGTATCATTGTCATTTCTGGCTCCGGTAAAACTGCGGCGATGACTTTCGGTAAAAGCTTTTATAAAACTGTCGGACTTCTATTTTCTGTGTGTGTGCATGTGTTAGTGTTTGTGTTGTGTAGGATGGTATCAGGGAACATGACAGCCTGTTTCATGTTCATGTCTCTGTCCTGGTATGTGCAATGACGTCACTATATTGTGGCTCATGTGTCCGCCGGAGTGGAGATGTTTTCCAGTAAGATCATCATCATAGTTGTGTGTCTGGTAACTGGAGCCTCACTGAGAGGTCTGATAACCCAAGTACACAGCAAAATAAAGCTGCATCAACTTGGACTGAAACCACTATCCTCGAGTTTGATGGTCGGCCACTCACTGACTGCTGTCTCCTCACTCACCTGCTTTATCTCAGTCCTGAATGGGCCAAAGCTCCAGCTCTTTGCAGCCCTGAGACTGATACCAGACTGTGTATGCTCATTCAAACATGCACTCACTCCTGTATACACACAAACAGACACTCCTGCACAATAAAACCACTGCTGCAGGAAAAAGGTGGATCAGTGTTTGCAGTCTAGCTTTCTTCAATGATACAGGATGTAAGCTAATTTATGATCCTCTCCAATGCTGCAGGCATGTCCAGAGATTTCAGTTACTGACGACTTTATGTCAAGGGGCTAAATGTGTAAATGAACATAATGTTTCTTTTCAGTTGAAATAAGAAGTCAGTGATTGTTCATGCTGTGCGTGGAACATTCCAACAAGCCATATGCAGACATAACTCATATAGTGATTTGTGTGTTTTTTGGCACAAGCCCTCTGCGCCCTCCACTTTTACTGTGCACTCAAATTTATCTAGAAAGAGCCTTGTGTGTATTGACCTACTGCAGTTCATAGGTGCCACATGTGTGAATACAAACAGGCTCTTAAAGGGATGTTCCGGCGTGAATTAAAGTTATGGTCAAACACACTGTAACACCGAGTTAGACACTCCCTTGAGAGATGAATGTTGCTGACTGCTTGCCTCTCTAGTTATACCAGCTTTAGTAATGACCGCACGATAGCAATACATGTCTTCACGTGCAAACCTCAACCAAAAAGCCACCTAACTTCATCAACAGTACATATAGGGTCCTGACAAGTTGGTTACCAAGTGCAGCAGAGTGCAGGGATTATGTGAAATGCTGCGACTACTGCGTCTGCAGAGCACATACAAGATACACAAGAACTCTGATTGCAATATCCATGAAGTAATAATCAAAAATGTTCTTCCTTGAGCTGTGAAACTCCGCTGCACTCGTCAATCGACTTGCCAGGGCTCCCCCACAAACAAGCAGCTGCTGGAGGAAAGTGGGTGAGTTGTGTTTGGTCTCTTTGCTTAAGAAACCAGGCAAAGCTAAAAAGATGATTGATGGCTTGTACTATGGCTGGGACCCTATATGTACTGCTGATGAAGTTAGTTGCTGAGAAGGAAGCAGGCGGCAACATTCATCTCTCGAGGGGGTGACTAACTCTGAGTTACGGTGTGTTTGACCCTAACCTAAATCTACGCTGGAATATCCCTTTAAGCCTCATCTCTGGGGAAACACCAACAGTGCCTGTATCTGCTTTATTACAGGATTTTCAGTGTTTGTTTTGTGTAATTCTGTCCCCATGAAACATCATTTTGACTCTGCTTTTGTGAATCCCCAAATTTTAACACTAAACTCTGTTACTATAGTGACATGTTTGGACTTGATCCACTGTGAAGTGGGAGAAGAAGAGGAGAAATAAATGAAAGGAGAAAATGAGATGAGGGTCTGCCAATGCAAATGAGAATCACACAGCTTGGCTGGAGTTCTGAACCGGAGAGTGAAAGGTCACTGTTGGTGTTAATAAGAAGGAAACTCAAAGTGCCGTTTTTTTGAATGCTTATGTGGTACTGATGGAACGATGAGAAAGGTCATCTTTATGGGTTTTAATGATGCAGCACTGAGGGTAAATGCTTCTGGACTGAGGACATTTTTGGATGTTATTTTGTTGCATCAGCTGCCGCTGTCTGACTGTGTTTTCTTCATGTAGTGGAATTAAAGGACATCCCCTCCAACTCTTGAAGTACACACTTGTAGAGATGTGGCAGGGCAGCTTCAGAAGAATCCTTCATGCCTGAGCTCGATTGTTTTAACGATGTTGATAAACCAAGGCTTTTCCATGGTTTTTTGTTCCATTATATCTTTAGCAGTATGCGCTGCAGCTGCTTTCTACTGTGTCCCTCACTTGTCATACACGATTCAATGAGAAAAGGAGTCCGCTAACATTTGCTGCACTTTAGAGGGTGTTTGTTGGTTGTAGTGGCCCTCTTTATCTCACAGACACACTCTCTGACTTGAATGCATGCCTCTGTTAAAGATGCTGAATTGAATTGGTCTTGCTGTTGCCTGCTCTTGCAACAGCCTTTGAACAAACTTTGCAGCGGACTGTAATTTGTTTGAGGTCTGCAAAACTATATCAGTTCCAAACAACGTACAAGACTGCACCTATTTGGGAACACACTCTTCATTAACCCTGGCAGCCATGATATTGTTGTGTGTGTGTCTCTGTAGGACCAAAAATGGGGAAGAGTATGAGGTATAAAAGTTTAAGGAGACTTAAATTTAAGGGAAAATTGAGTTGTTGAGTTTCAAAAATCGTCCTTGGCCAATCATGTGATCAAATAAATCACCACCTAGCCCTACACCTTAAAACAAACCACAACTTTTAACCTCATTATGGCACTTGATAAGCTCAGGGATTATCATCTGGGTGCCCTGAATGCCTGTACAAAAGTTTATATGAGTTTGTTTTACTGGATAAATGAAAACCTTGAACTGCCAGTAGCACTAAAGGGAAAATCAGGGCATTCCCAAAGTCACTATGCGTCACGCTAATGGGGCAGTAAATGCGTGCATGGGATTTCCTGGCAATCTTTCCAATGGCTGGAACAAAGTAGTGCACCCATCAACTGACACATCAGCCTTGAGGCACTCCCTCGTCGTGTTACTTAATGATTTTAAAAGAAGTTTCCATGTGTTTTTCCTCAATCAGTTATCGATGAGTAGCTTCAGCTCTGAAGCCTGGCCCATTAGTGCTTTGACCAAATTGAATCCTGTCATTCAGCTTCTGCTAGTGGTTAAAAACCTCCTGTTGTTGTCTAAATTAGTCACAGCCTTATACTCAACCACAATATAAATACAACGTCACTGGTCTCCTTCTCTCTCGTCTTACAGCCCCTCTCAGCAGGAGGCGGCAGACGCCTCAACCCGTACATGTGAGATGTAGACTAGGAGGCACCTGCCCGGCTCTCTCCCAGTCACACCCAGCTGATAAATGGTCCCTGCCAGTGTGTGCTCTAGGAGATAGAGTATCCAAGTGTTCACTGTTTGACACTGACCATATCAACTTACCAGAGACCAGTCATTGTGTGTAAAAGTCTAGGGTACATGAAGATGTTTGATACTGTTTCCATGGTGTTGTTGACTGTGCTTTCATTTTGTACACTTTGCGTCAGCCAGCACTTCTGTCTGTAATTACATCATAACATTACAGCCCGAACATTTTCCCCCTCGCTCTGTTGCATCTCACAGTTGTCAGCAGTTCACACAATGGTCCCATATCTTCAGTGATCATCAGCACCGCCAAGTGTGCACTTAAAAGGAGATGCATGTCAAGTATGTTAATAAGATTAGAGCAGTAGGAGAAGTGTTTGTGGTGTTCTGTTTCTAAGAGATGGCTCATCATTGAAGTGGTGGGAAGGGGGAGACCGTGGTGGAGATGAATGTCCCCTATAATCCAGCTTCTCAACACACGAGTTGATGGTGGTTGTTTGTGAAATTATGGAGAATTTTTCTCTTTATTGCAGCAAAATAATGAAGAAAGCATCTTTTCATGCAATCAGAATTAGTAGTATCATGTAGTGATTGACAAATATCATTTTTTTCAGTGGCAGATAAACATCATGCAGATGTCCTGCTGTTTTTGTTTTTTTCCTGTTTTAGTTTTGTTTGTTTTTTGCATTTGATGAAAAATAGTAACACCTATGATTTGATGCACATTATATTCTAATATACATGGTTTTCTTACACATTTTAGACAGAATTTGATGATCTCATGAAATAGGATCAGGGTTATGGATTAAGGCTATGGATTTAAAGGGATATTCTGGCATAAATTTAAGTTATGGTGACAAGTCAAACACACTGTAACTCTGAGTTAGATACATTTTGCCAACTGCTAGCTTCTCTTGTTATACCAACTTCAGCAACAACTGCATGATAGCAATACACAGCGGCTGCTGCAGGAGAGTGGCTGGGTTGTGTTTGGTCTCTTTGCTAAAGAAATCAGACAAAGCTAAAAAGATGATTGATGGCTATTATTATGGCTTAGGTGCTGTTCTGAGCATTATTTGTGGCAATAGAGTGGCGTTTTGGTTGAGGTTTTTTGAGACGTAGACTGCTGTGTATTGCTATCGTGTGGTCGTTACTGAAATTGGTATGACAAGAGAAGCAAACAGCAGCATTCATCTCTCAAGGGGATATCTGACGCGGTGTTAAGGTGTATTTGACCATAACTTAAATTTATGCAGTAATATCCTTTTAATGACTGATAAGTGTGTCTGAAGCAGGGGTTGGTTGATATTGTTTTTTCAAGGCAAACAGCTCTCACTTCAGCATAAACAGCTCAGATCAATCTGAAACAAAGGAAGTTGTGGCTGCTGCTTAGATTGGTGTTGGACTGCTTTATTCTCTGCATGTGCAACAGGAGAACAAACTATCATAGGCAGCCACAGGAGGAGCAAGAGGAAAGGAGCAAGAGTGGTCAGGTGTGTTTTTCAGTGTGTGAAGAGGCGAGGGACAGGATGAGCACGACAAGAGAGAGGCTGTAGCGCTAAGGGGCTTTCAGTAACAACAACAGTAAAAAAACACAGTTATAAAAGCTTGAAAAGACTGAATGATTTGTTAGATCTGCTCAAGTTGACCTTTTAAGTGCAGATAATTGATCTGTCTGTAGTGTCAAGGGCGCTAGGCGATGAACAGAAGTAAAAATAAATGCCACAGTAAATGAATTCAAAACGTACAAACTCTTGAAGAAAAGGTGTTTAAGTCAGCCGTGAATGATGAGAAGTCCATCCTCTTCAACTATCAAAACATTTCGGGGAATGTTTAAAGCCTGTGAGTCATTATCAGTCCTCTGCTGAGTCACGATCCATCACACACTGACCTCAAACAGCTTCTCCTCATTTCCAGTATACCCTGACACAGCCTCTGTATAATCTGACAGCTTAATCCACTCAATGATTATCAAATTGTGGAGGGATCAGGGGACAGTGACTCAGCCTTTGAAATGAGAGATTGCAAATCATGCAGAAATATAATGCATCGACTCACATATGGGCTGATTGAGAATGTGAACAGAGAGCACCAACAAACCGCTGCAGCAGCCGCTAGCAGGTCAACCCCAGATTACAGTCATCTGCACGCCACCTTCTCTCCATAACGAGCCTTTGTTTTCTGTTGCTCTGCGGCACACGTGCAGGAAGACAACAGACATCGTTTTAAGCCCGGGCTAATTTTAGACGGACTTATCTGCAGCTTTTCAGAAATATGTCAATGCAAGCGTTCCAAAAGTGGTGGCAGCCCAACGATCATTTACGGGGGGGCGGTCATTGAAATAATTTGGATAGTTGCTCCATATTGTTTCCACCACACTTCGGAAGTGGAATTAATTTCACATACTGTTGTTTCTGTTTGATATTTAGCTAATTCCCATGAGACCATATCTGCTTAACAAATCACTGTTTGGATTCTGTCAGTAAATCGAATCATAAACATCTTAAACTAGATTTGTTCTAACAGTCATCCCTAAGCTTGTTTATTACTTTGCTCCAATTTCCAGATAAGCTGTTTTGATGCAAATTAAGTCGAGCATATGGGAATATAAAGGAGGATGCTTGATAAATGAATTATGAATGCTTTTCTTTTCAGAGGAAGAGAAACTCTACCTCCTGCTGTTAGTTTGAAAGTAATTCAACATTGTTTATGCTTCATTTTACTGTAATCTGCTGAAGGTATATGTTCACAATGTCTGATCTTGGCTTTTCTCTTCCTCCCTCAGGCAGTGGCCCGTAAAAGCAAACGGTAAGTGAAGAAACTGCATGGCCCATTAAAAAGATGATTTCATTCTTATTCTCTTTGTGTTTATCTGTTATGCCCCAAAGTGTATTATAGCTATGGAGAGGCGAATGCAGCAGGAATAAGGACCTTGTCAGTGATTTGTCAAGGTTGATAAACCTCACTAAAGCCTCAGCCAAACACAGCCGAGCCAGCCAGCTGTCTGAGGCAGACTGCCTGGTGGGATCAAACATAGTCAAACACACAGACACACACACACGCGCACAGTAACCGGCAGGTCCACGCCAGCCAAAAACCACATTAATAGGTAGCGGTGCCATTTAGCACGTCTGCTCCAGCTTTCTTCCTCCAAATTAGCACCGTGACCTCAGAGAGAAGCTCAGTGTCCGGAGAAAATGTAATGTCTGACGTGGCCTTGTGAAGTCTCACTCCAATAAGAATCAACAGAGAGTAAAAATGATCCATTTCTGTGGGCATCCTTTACTCAAATTATGACTGATAAGGGTTGAAAACTGACAGCAAAGCTTTCAGGTTAGTGATGGGAAGAACAGTTCTTTTGACTGTACTGAATCTTTAGAATCCGTTCATTAAAATGATTCGGTCGAAAGATTCGTCACTGAATCAGTCAGTGCTTCGGAGCCCTGTGCTGTAAGGTGCAGTACACCAGTGAGTGACACAGCGGCGCTGATCGGGAGTTCGTTCATTGAACGAGCCCCTACCCTCCCACTGACGACACAGCGTCGTTCACTGGGTGACACATCGTTCGTTCACTAAGTCGTGAAGGAAGAATCAGTCCCCTGCCCTGGAAAACTCACCTCTCTGTGTGCCGCCGACATGTGCATCGTGACGTGAGAGAAACAACACAGCAGCAAGCAGCATGCCTGCTAAACGATCGCGAGTCGTTGTTCTTTTATATCGTGGAAAAGTGGAGAGACTCACAGTGAACAAACCGGTGCTTGGAAGTTCGTAAACGACGCTACCTCTGCCTGCCTCAAGTCGTTCGGAAGTCATTCATTTTATTCACAGTCTGACTGATACATGTCGTTCATTCGCTGTGAGCAAATCACAAGACTCCGCCTGCCCGCCCCGCCCCGCTAGCTGGCTGGGTGGGTGTGTGTAGTTCGCCAAAGAGTCAAAGGCGGCAGTTCCACTCCCGACGAGCACACCACACTCCCGACTGAGGTCAACTAAACTGAGAAAGGAAAGAATCAGGTCTTGGAGTGATTCCGTTCATGTTGTTCACTCAGCAGTTCTGTTCTTTTAAACAAATCGTTCATGAACGACACAACACTATTTCACTTTCAATTGAATGTTCCGCATATAAACTTACGTGTCATTTGGCTGAAGAAAAACAGGCATGAGTGCTTGGTAAATTTGATAACTATTTTATAAAGCAGCTTTTAAAATACAAATTTACATTGTGCTTTGATAAACAAGAAGATAACAAAACGCAGCAGGCAGCGAAAAAGAGTCCAAACAACAAAGCCAAATACAGCATGAACAATAGGAGAGTGCAGTCAAGATGAAGTTAAATCACTGGAACAAAAGATCCAGAAGAAGAAGCTTAAACAACACAGGGAGGGAGCAGAGGCAAAGGGGTAACAACAATCATAGGCAACAACATGAATCAATAAAACAGAAATAAAAGAAACAAAAAACAAAGAACTTAAGGAACTAAAAGCATAAAATGTTAAAAACAACAAAAGAAGATAAATACACCACATCTTAGGAAAGTCTTTCAAGGAGAGTTTTAAGAAGTGAAAAGAAGAGATTTCCCTCATTCTGTATGCCTTATATCTCCACAGGAGGGTACTTCTAAAGTACTTCCAAACCCTGATGGCAAAAGCACAATCTCATTTACAGTCCTGGTGATCTGAGGCTGCAGATGTGTGAACATAAAGCTGTCAGCGGTCCTGCAGTGTAGCTCGTAATCAGACTCAGAAAGAAAAAGATTAGTAAAAATTGCATCTAAAACTGACGAGAAGCCAGGACAGGAGTAATATGGTCTGATTCCTTTTGTTAAGTCACACCCCTGAATATTTGCTGATACATTTTCAAGTAATCCGTCTCTTTCTCTCTGCCCCATAGAAAAAGAAACGCAGGAGCTGTCGAGTCCAGCGCAGGACAACTCTGTGTGTCCGTCCTGCTGTCAGTGGCTCCGGCCTGATAACCAAAGGGTTAGACTGCGGCCTAAGCGGCGTCCGTCAGCTCGGGTGCAGAGCATCCTGCGCAGGACAGCCAGAGGCAAACGTCTGAGTCTGACGCAGAGAAAGCTGCTGAGCCGTTTCCAACAGTCCTGCTCAGTGCTGGTAAGAAGACATAACACTTCAACCCTCCAGACCTGGTTGTGTATTGTTCTGCAGTGCAGCATAGTGACCTTGCAGAGGAACATCAGGTACCTGGTGTTAAACTAGAATGATGAAGAGATCTTTATAGCATTTACGGTGAACACTCCTCTGAAAACTTTCCCTACACAGCGACCTATACTGAGTTTAAGTAGTCTGGTGTTGACCTCTGACCTTTAAAAGAGACTAGACAAAAGAATATCTCAGGGGTAATCAAAAATGCATCATGTCATAATTTGCTCTTGATAAGTTGTTCCCAGTTGCTGTTGGCATTTGCACTGATGAAGTCATTTGTGTTCATTTGAAGGAGAGTGCTTGGTTTCCCACATCATTACAGTCTGTACAGTGGTCCCATTAAGCTTAACTGTACGAGAAGTGATTCTGCCTGCTAGTGCCTTGTCAACACTCTCCCGCTCCCTCCCACAGTCCGCTGAATTGTTATAGTGCTACTTTTTCTCTCTCCTCGTAATGGGTAGCAGCAGGCAGGGACAAAATGGAAAGCTTATTTTGGCGAGCACCCACCCACTCTGCTGATAAGCTCATTAAGGCGAGGATGGCGGCAGCGGAGCTCCCTGCATTAGGGTCATTTTCCCCCGCTGCATCCTAAAGCAGAAAGAGCTAGGAGAAAACCATAGAGGAGCCCCTCTGGTGATCTGACATGAGTCTAATGAAGAGCAGCTCTGGTGGAAATGCTGCCTCATTAAAATGTGGTTGGGTCATTTAGTATGCGAGGATTCACCGGTGAGGCTTCTACTTTCCGTGTCCTTTTTGTGTCCGTTGAGTCTGAGGGCAAAGAGGGAGACAGAAACAGATGGAGAAAGGAGGAATAATAAAAGAAAGAGACTAACACAGGAGAGGGATGGTGAAGAGATAAGAAAGGTGAAGAGAAGAAGTCAAAAAGAAGAGACTGCACCCTGCAACATTATTTTGTATGCTGCAGAGGTTGTGTGAGACATCCTGACCATGAGGACCTTGGTGAAGGACAGATTCAGAACCTGATAGGGAGGTCGATTGAATATTTACATCAAGAGAAGCTCTAATTAAATTGTTGTGGTCTAAAATAGGAGATTATCTGATTGCTGTAAGTAGCCGGGTAGAATAATGTTCCATTACAAAGCTCTACATCACATTTACGTGGTGATAATGGTCAACTCTTTTGTCCATTCCTCAGTTTGTCATCACATTGTGACAGTTAATGTACCGACCATGTTAACTCTTTAATAATGCTATAATGAAGTTCATTCAGTAGGACTGGGCAATTTGGCAAAAAAAAAAATCACAATATCTTTTGTCATCTCGTCCGATCTCGATTGATATCACTTTTGGTTTTTTTTTTAAACTGCCAGTTTTAAAGCATCTGTACTAAAAACTAAAGAAACTAGAGATTAGTTCAGCATTTTATTAACATACAAAGTAAATAACAAAACAAATTGAATAAGATAAACTTAAAAATTTTAAAAAATATATAAAAACCATTTTAACTCAACAGTACAACAAATGTACACTCACCGGCCACTTTATTAGGTACGCCATGCTAGTAACGGGTTGGACCCCCTTTTGCCTTCAGAACTGCCTCAATTCTTCGTGGCATAGATTCAACAAGGTGCTGGAAGCATTCCTCAGAGAGCTTGGTCCATATTGACATGATGGCATCACACAGTTGCCGCAGATTTGTCGGCTGCACATCCATGATGCGAATCTCCCGTTCCACCACATCCCAAAGATGCTCTATTGGATTGAGATCTGGTGACTGTGGAGGCCATTTGAGTACGGTGAACTCATTGTCATGTTCAAGAAACCAGTCTGAGATGATTCCAGCTTTATGACATGGCGCATTATCCTGCTGAAAGTAGCCATCAGAAGTTGGGTACATTGTGGTCATAAAGGGATGGACATGGTCAGCAACAATACTCAGGTAGGCTGTGGCGTTGCAACGATGCTCAATTGGTACCAAGGGGCCCAAAGAGTGCCAAGAAAATATTCCCCACACCATGACACCACCACCACCAGCCTGAACCGTTGATACAAGGCAGGATGGATCCATGCTTTCATGTTGTTGACGCCAAATTCTGACCCTACCATCCGAATGTCGCAACAGAAATCGAGACTCATCAGACCAGGCAACGTTTTTCCAATCTTCTATTGTCCAATTTCAATGAGCTTGTGCAAATTATAGCCTCAGTTTCCTGTTCTTAGCTGAAAGGAGTGGCACCCGGTGTGGTCTTCTGCTGCTGTAGCCCATCTGCCTCAAAGTTCGACGTACTGTGCGTTCAGAGATGCTCTTCTGCCTACCTTGGTTGTAACGGGTGGTTATTTGAGTCACTGTTGCCTTTCTATCAGCTCGAACCAGTCTGGCCATTCTCCTCTGACCTCTGACATCAACAAGGCATTTCCGCCCAAAGAACTGCCGCTCACTGGATATTTTTTCTTTTTCGGACCATTCTCTGTAAACCCTAGAGATGGTTGTGCGTGAAAATCCCAGTAGATCAGCAGTATCTGAAATACTCAGACCAGCCCTTCTGGCACCAACAACCATGCCACGTTCAAAGTCACTCAAATCACCTTTCTTCCCCATACTGATGCTCGGTTTGAACTGCAGGAGATTGTCTTGACCATGTCTACATGCCTAAATGCACTAAGTTGCCGCCATGTGATTGGCTGATTAGAAATTAAGTGTTAACGAGCAGTTGGACAGGTGTACCTAATAAAGTGGCCGGTGAGTGTAGATAAATACTAGATAATACAATGAACTAATTTACAGTCCTGAGTGTTTTAGCAGGTTTGCAAGACCCAAAATAAACAAATCGCCCCCTCAGGGATAATGAAGACACCTTCAAATGTAAACATCAGATGATGTAAACGTAGGTGATATGATTGATTGCTGCTTTGGTCTGTTGGCTGCACCCGTAGTTGTGGCTAAACTGCTAATGCTACTAGTGCCGTCAACAGTGACAGGCTGTGCAAACTCTGCTCGCATTTTCATGCTTTCCACATAATCACTCAGTACTTCTTCAAACGATTAAACAGATCTGTTGTGTTGCCAGTTTTTGAGGGCACCAACCACCGACATACCTTGCACATCAGCTTAATTGCTCGATGTCACTTTGGAGATACCCACCGATGCTGAATAACTTTTCTTCTCAACAATGGCATCTTTGGAGGATGACTCAAAGTCATGGCTGACATCCATTTTGCTGCCCCCAGCTCTGCGTTTAGCTCCATGTTTGGTCATTCTGTTTACTTCTCTAACAACATACAGAAGTAAGCAGGAAGAGGTGGACTCTGATTGGCTGTTGTCACGCACATTTCTGATTTGTTTGATCAAGTAAATATGCTCACAGCTGAACACCGTGATCAAACTGAAATTTATCACCATCATATAATCTCCCAGTCCAAATCAGCAGCTGTGTAATGTTTGTAATCCATACTGTTGTAAAAGTCTGCAGACAGCAGGAGGTGCAATGAGTCCCCACCACAGTAATGGCCTCTATTCAAGCCTCTTACTGGATCTGTTTATACCCTGAGGCCTTCGCCATGACTGTGCACTTATCTTCTGACTCATTTGTCAACACTGTTTAGGTCTACTTGGAGAGTGTTGATGCTTGTTTGTCACGAGACTACCTCGTAAAGCAATACACCCCAAGCCGGCCCTCAGAGGTATTTTTACCCCCAGTTTCATGGTCACTTGCCTCTCATTTACTGAAGTTCAAGGGGCATCAGTGGGGCGATAGAGTGAGGATCCCTTGAAATGAAGAGTCGTGAAGGGAGGGCATAAGAAGAGGAATGCAGACTGGTTTTCTCTGCTTCTGTGGCTCCATACCGATGAGAGAGACTTTGCATGCATGGATAAAAAGATTAGCGCTAACCGCTCTCCTCTGCAAAAACAGAGACATGGGGTCGTAGTTAGGATGATGGGACAGTCAGAAGTACTATGGTGAATGTTTTAAGTTGCATATCAAAGGACGCTGCTTTCAATCTCGACTTTAGATGACCTGATTGAGCTTGCACCCTGAATTTGTTTTCGTTCATGGTTTATTTCATTGTGACAGGGTTGAGTGGTTATACTTGCATACACAGTGTTCTGCTTTTCTTACCGTTAGTCACATCGCAGCAATAGACAGAAGCGCAGGATTACTTGGAGAGCTAATCAAAACACAACACTGTATAAATTCACTGTCCTGTTTGTGTGCAGGTTGAGACAGACATTTCTTCAAAACAAGGTGTGAGTTTTTACAGACGCAGATCAACATGACTGCTTAGTTCTCAGCACTCATACAAATGTCAAAACAGTTCTGGGATATTTCTCCAGAAGAGAGTTGTTGTGAAACCCTTGAAGTTATCTGTTACTTGGAATACATTTTTTTTTCTCCTGGCCAAAATTTACCGTTACACTTTCTGTTGTTTCCCACACAGTATATAGCTTACATAAATACTTCGATATTTATCCAGTATAACATTCTATGGCTTAGGCAATCGTAAGCCCTCAAGACATACAGGCCTCTGTCTCTCCAAAAGTCAAGACATCAGACAGAAACCTAAAGATGCATATTCACACTCTCACACATGGTCATGTGCAGTATTTATACTCTGGGGTGTAAATCCCTTGTCATTTCACTCCCTTCAGGATGTATGTTTGTCCTCTCCTCAGCTTGGTGGTACAGTGTCTTAGACGCTTTATAAATCAGGTGTGTTTATGCACGCTGGAAAGGTTATCCGGCAGTGGATATGGAAATAGGTTGTTGGATTGTCGCCTTGCAATACAAGCAAAGACCCTAAATGGAGCGGAGAGTAGTGCAAACTCCCACGTACGTCTCACTCTGCTCTCCCTATTTGAGCAAACATTTTTACTTCCCTGCGGAGTTGTTTCAAGAAATAGTTTCAGGTTTGCTTTCATTCATACTGTTCTAGGGGTTCAGCTTAAACTCTGGTGCCCAACTTCAGTTTAATGGAGGAAAAATGGATTATATCGTGTTATTTTCTTGAATGGTCATCTTAAAGCCCTGACTTTAATGTAATAAAGATAAAGTGGAGTAAAATGAAACACTGCAAAGGAAGAAAGACCACAGTCCTATCTGAGTAAGGATTTTTAGGGGTGAAAGGGAGCCAACATTTTGGCAAAGCATTGTGAGAAACTTTTGGAAGGTTACCTAAACTCAAGACAAGACAAGTACTTGAACATAATTTCAATCAATATGTACTGGGGAGGAAAAAAAATGACTAAGAAACAATCTGCTTCATTTCTCCAGACCAGAGGCTGCCACTTGATTCTTCCTCCTAACTTGGGAGATATCCGAACTATACCCAAAGCTTAATGATGTTTTAGACTGTGTACTACTAAATGCTCAGTGATTTTGGTAAAACACAAATTGTTAGTATTCAGCCATTCATGTGGGTGATAAGCCAGCTGTTCAGTGACCAAATACACAGACGTGGATGGACGCAGTTCTGGATAAACGGCACATATCACAATATGGGGTTAGTGCCGTGGTTATTGGGGACGGGCCAGGCCCCCTGTGGTCCACCCAGAGCAACAGTTGTGAAAATGATATATTTTAGAGATAAAATAACATTGTATCTCTGAAATTTATATATTATTATTTGCAAACACAGCACTTGCACATCAGCTCCATCTCTCCAGACCAGAGGCTGCCACTTGGGTGTTCCTCCTAACTTGGGAGACATCCGAATTGTACCTGAAGCTTAATGATGTTTTAGACTGTTTAACAAAACTACTGAATGCTCAGTGATTTTGGTAAAACACAAAGTCTTAGTATGCATCCATTCATGTGGGTGAATACTAATCTTCTCATCCCTAATGTACATCTTTGGTAGTGTCTGGAATGAGTTTGAAAACATTTGCACATTAGATGTCAAGAGAAATCCATTGTTGTGTGGCTTTAGTAGAAACCAAACAGACTAAATGCAGGAATTGTATTGATCTTGATGAAAAGCTGTGTATTTAAATATGCAGCCCTCACTTAAGCTCTTCAGGAGGACTGTTTTTTTTCCAAGAAGGTTGAATAGAAAACCATGAACCGGATATGTAGTTGAAAAACTGTTGTCTGAAAACAACTTTATTTTCAAGATAAAGGATGAAGCAGGCAGAAAAACCAAAGTGTCAGAACATAAGTGGTTGATAAATCTTTCCTTTTCCCAGAAGAGCCATTTCCCCTGACGTGACTCCAACCGCTCCTTGTTGATTTATGCCATCACCTATAACCACCTCTCATCCGCAATCCTTCAGTTTTTTCCTCCCTCACCTCATATCATCTACCTGACCACCCCCTGTGCCCTGCATTATCCTCCCCTCTCTTCCTTTCATTCCTGGCCATCTCTCCCACCACATCCCTCTGTCATAGTTATCCTCACTGGAGTAATGCCTCTGCAGAAAAAGCCTCTCGGGAGATGACAGGAAACAGTAGACAGCCAGGGCTACATGTTTCAGGGTTTGCTGTCTCTCTCAGGGCACAGAGGAAAGCCCCGCCGAGGGTTGTGACACCTCGTGGGTGAGCGGTGAGTGACAGAGTGACAAGAGGGGATTGTGTTTGGCAGCAACAGTAGCGGTGGCCTTCAGCGCTATAGATATAAACAGGGGACTCGGTGGGAAGTGGAAACACTCACTCATGTCTCACGTGTATATGGCTTCAACAAAGGGCTCAGGGAAGTATTTTAAGCACACTAACACATACACACACGTACAGTAGCAGCAGTCATGGCAGGTCAAAACCAGCTGGGTCTGTGACTGACACCTTCTGGAGACCCTAACAAGACTATACACACAAGGAAACTGGAATTAATTTTTCAACATAAGTACCCTGGCATAGGACCAGGGACTGTTTTCAACCTGTACCATGAACCTGATGCTGCATCATAATAACAAAGTATCATCTCTCAATTAGCCCCAATACCTCCTCCCCTCGCCACTATTAAAAGCCACTCCGGAACTTGGCAGTCACGGTTCAGCTTTGGATCCTCCTCATCATGTATGCACATACATCGCTCCTGTAATGGATCCTGTCAGCATTAGGACATTGCGTTGCATTCAGGACATTAGTTTGTTTTAAAGCCACATATGCGTTCCAAGTTAACTCTTGATCTGTCCCGAACCTGCGCTGCCAGGATCATCACACGGCCAGTTTACAAAAAAACAGATTCTTTTTTCTCTGTGCATTATGAGAAATATAAAGTATAAAAAATAAGAACTACAGCAGCTCTCTCACTGACAAGACACTGAAGAGTGAGTTTTGGCTATGAATAATACAGATATTGAAGAATCTTCACACCAAGATATTACTCTTCCAGTTTTTCAGGGCCGGAGTCTGTCTTTACTCACAGTACAGAGTTTGTGAGTCTCTTGCCTGCATACTTAAAAAGAACATCAAAATCTGAAAGAAACCATCAATCCAGACATTTAAATTAGGGCTTTACGATTGATCGATTTTAAATTGTAAACGGATTATTTGATCATGACGATGTTAAAAAAAAAAATAATTATCTATCATGTCTCGCGCCTCCAGGCAATCATAGACTCCCCCTTCCTGAGGGAGTGCTCCCCAGTTCCCACGCACACCAGTGTAAACAAACATGACGTTTGCAAAAGAAGGTGATAACTTTGTGGCTAAATAGGGCAAGAGCAAGTCAGTTGTGTGGAAGTGGTACGGCTTCGCAGTTTGGGATCAAGAGTAAAACAACTCCCCGCTGCAAAGTCTGTCTAAAGGCGGTTTCAACCCGTCCACTCAGAAACAACTTCAGGAGTTCATGCAAAAGTTTTTTGTTGTATTGGCATTTCATCCACATGGAAACAGCGTTTTGGGTGTAAACTGTTCTATTTGAAAATGGGTCAGAAAGTGCATGAATTCATAAACGACTACCATTTCATCTCTGTATGGATGTCTATTTGCATCTCTTTTGAAACGATTATGTGACACACAGCATAACTCTTTTATGGCGCCTGTGCATGCTCTATACTCTTCTTCTGTCTTTTGTGCATTTCCTCGGGACTGTTGCAGCGCCACTTACTGGCTTGACATATGCACTACATCGTTTTCAGTGGTTTCGTTTTGAGAGATGATAAAAAAAACTTATTATTGAAGTGAAGTTTGGTGAAGTTGTCACTGAGTAAAAAATCTAAATCAAGCATCAAGTTTTCAGTGAGAAAAATCAGGATTTTATTTTTGGCCAAAATCGTGCAGCCCTAATTTGAATCTATGTGTTTGATTTTTCATTGGTATGAAGCCAGATATCAGTAATAGCCATCTTAAAAATGTAGGTAGTGTGCTATCAGCTCATCTGAGTAATTTCTCAGAGCAACCAGCAGCTCTCTCAGGTTGATCTTCAATGAGGATACAGTGCCTGTAGCTACAGATCAGCGACAGAAGTTACTGGTTTAACAGTGTTAAATAAACTGAATGGAGACGGTGTTTTACCCCTCATGTGATCATGCACGTGTTTAGGCCTCATCATGATACTCAAGACACCTCAGTCAATAGTGTTTGCTATATTTTCCACCATAGAACGTTTCATTTTGTACTCTCAGGTATCATAATTGCACAATACACCAGAATATGAAGCAGGGAAAGATCTGTAGATTTACTGCACACCATGATGTCACATCCTGGATAAAGTTTCCACAGATATTATCTTAAGAATGTGAAGAAGTATTCACTCTCACAGCTTATCTCATTTTCTTATCTGCTCTCTCTCTCTTCCACAGGGAGATATGTCTGATTAAACGGGCCTCAGAAGTTCATTAACATTTAAAACCTCATAAATAATTCACAAAAACACATAACCCCGAGCACCGAGAATGACTAATTTTCTTTTAAATAATTTGGCTGACTGGATAAATCCTACTTGTTGAGCTCCGCTGGAGAAATCATGGCATTGTTCTGGCTTTGCTGCTGCTGTTTGTTTCCACTCAGACCTGCTGGTGTGATGCTGGAGAAAACGTGACCTTTTATCAACACAAAGAGAGACAGAGAGAAAACAGACAAACAGTTAAGACATCATTTTAAAACGCCAGTGGGTAGCCATCCTGCATTCAGATCAGGTGTCTGTGTGTGCGTATTTAGCGGGCAGCCTGCCTCCAGACAGTGTGACTAAGTGGCTGCCTGCACCATCACAGCTTGCCTCCTATTGATCCCCCCTGACTGCTCTTCTGCTTTGGGCTGCATTGTGTTGTATTGATGTCTTCTCAAATGACTTTCACACACATTACACGTGGATATTTTGCACGTATGACTGCGCAGACATTTTTGGAAACCCTGTCACACAGTCAACACTCCCAGACCATTGTCGCTGCCCCTGATTCAATTAAAAGCCTCTTATAGGCACTTAATTGTGCCACTCATTCTGTCACAGGGCTCCTCTTGCTCCTCTTGGGTGGTATCGTACTGCAGAGGTCAAGTTAATCAACCCGGCCTGACCTCTGGCACTGCAGAGGAAGACAGGAAGGGAGGTATTTGTGGAGCAGGGGCTAATAATAGAAGAAAGGGTCCATTTGCAGGATTGATTTATGTGGTTTTGTACGCGCTTGTGTGTCTGCACATGTGCACCATTTTTCTATGTAACATCCATTTTCTCTACTTCTCTGTGCCAGTGCAACATCTGTGTAATTACTCACAGGTGTGCACGCTGCATTGCCATAAAAATGCTCTAATACACATAAAGGTCCTGCAGGTGTAGAGATCTATTTCATGATGAGGATGACGCTTACTCACACAAGTGTTTATCCTGCAATCTTAGTTTGTCACAGTTATGAGTCATGCCACAACAACCTGAAAACACTTCAGTTACAAGAAACAAAGCTGCAAAATCTCACGGATTACTGCTCCATTTGTGGGTTAGTTTTCCTCTTTATCATTAGCTCTGTGCACTTAGGATGCATGCCCGTAAAATCATAAATAACAGAGTGATTTACTGTTGGAGAATTGGCAAGCCGTGACTCTCTTTAAAGCCTTCACCAATGAGAGTTATAGCTAAGACCTGCTTATCTGTGCAATAAAGAGGACTTATTCCTCTTATGTGGGCTGTCAGTGAGGTATATTTGATTCTCCGCTCTCTTATTATGATTTAAAGGATGAAGGACAGGTGCTGACGTTCCCTACTCTGTGCGGTGAGGCCAGAGCTGAACAGCTGGGGTATATGAGTACAGGATCAAGGTGAAGTGTGGCTGTGGCCGTAGCTGTCTGTGTCTGTTTTGGTTTCATGTTTAACACCTAGACAAGCACGCAGAGAGTGTCAGACAGCTATTTTTTCAACCAGGAAAAAAATATCACAATCAAATCATTAGTCAATCACAAAACATTACACACCCACGCAATCGCTCAGCCCAAGGGAACTTCTGCAGATAGTTGAGCCATTAAGCACTTTTTTAAAAACCTATTTTTTAATTAAAAGTTTCGTTTCATTTGGATTTATTCTGTGTACATTGGCTGGCACAGTGTGTTTTGTTTTACAAGCTGGTTAGAGGGAGTGTCGGCTTTTCTACTGTGCACTTTCAAACTCAATCATGCTTCTTTTTTTCCAACCACAGGGTGAACCTCGTGTTTCAATAGAAATTTAAATCTGTGCAAAAACTAATCATCCAGCTGTGTGTACTTCCTGATAAACCCTCCGAAATGTCACCCTCTCCATATGCTGCATCTGCCAGTGTGTAGCTTTGTCTACTGTCGGGGTCAACAGCCCAAGAAGCAAATCCCTCTGTGGCCCTTTCTCACGTGCGCTTCTCCCAAGTACATACACTACATGTTTAAGGATTAGTGTAAATTAGACGGGTACACGTGATTGGTGGTATCGAATTTCAGGTTATTGTGACTGGAAGACGCTGCAGCAACTGTTGTGGTGTCGAGTCTTAATAACCTTGATGTTTTGTAGCGGACAGTGGCACTTAAATATGTCTGAGAAATGTCTCCACGATTTTTCCTGCACTTATTCTCTTTATTTAGAGTCGGTCATGTCGGTTCTTCAATGCAGGCCGGCTGGAGGAAAGTGGGGCTACTCGTGTTAACCAGAGGACACAAGGATAAAGACATGATGAGTTTACTGTAGCTGTAAACATCCATCCACAGCCAGCTGTCTCTCTGTGTGTCATTCACTCCAGTGTGAGGGTTTTTTTTTATCCTCTGCAATAATTGGATAGTCGTCTGAACTCATTAAAATCTAGGCTGTGAACTGAATGCCTGCCTCCCTCATCACTTACAGTATGTGTTACAGCAGCACTATTTAAGGCTCAGGAACAGGAAGTCTTTGTTTTTGAGCGTTCACAGACGCTGTCTGCTTGGATGTGATCTAAAGGAAAGTTTTCATCAAGGAAATTGAAGTAAACGGTGATGAAAGGGTGTTTAATCAGTGGCAAAACTGAAATTTTATTAGACTCCTCATAACAGTCATTTGCAATCAGACTTGAGAGGGTTTTAGTCATTATTGTTATTAAATACGACTTTACTCAAACAAACTCACACTAAGTCTGCCAGCTAACTTTTAAAGTTTATAAGAGCTTTCAAGGGATATTCCATCATAAATTTAAGTTATGGTCAAACACACCGTACACCGAGTTAGACACCTCCTCGCGAGATAAATGTTGCCGATGCTTGCCTCTTTTAGTTATACCAATTTTAGCAACAACTGTACAATAGCAATACACAGGTCTATGTCTCCACGCACAAACCTCAACCTCAACCAGCCCTGACAAGTCGATCGCAGTGTGCAGCGGCGTTTCGCAGCTCAAGGAAGAAAATTTATGATGATTACTCATAAAATGCAATCAGACCAAGAGCTAAGGCAGAAGAACTACCGCATCAGCAAAATGATTATGATGATCATTACTTGATTGAAATGATCCGCTGCACTCAGTGATCGACTCGTCAGGGCTCCCCAACAAGCAAGCGGCTGCTGGAGGAGAGTGGGTGAGTTGTTTTTAGTCTCTTTGCTAAAGAAACTAGGCAAAGTTAAAAAGATGTTTGATGGCTGGTACTGTGGCTGGGACCCTATATGTACTGTTGATGAAATTAGGTGCTGTTCTGAGTGTTATTCATGGCTATAGAGTGGCTTTTTGGTTGAGGTGTGCACGTGGAGACGTAGACCACTGTGTATTGCTATCATGTGGTCATTACTAAAGTTGGTATAACAAGAGGAGCAAGCAGTCGGCAACATTCATCTCTAGAGGGGGTGTCTAACTCTGTGTTATGGTGTGTTTGACACGAATTTTAATTTACGTTGGGATATCTTTTTAAGCTCCAATCACTCAGTCATGCCTATTTGCCTTCTGTAACACCAGCATGATCAGACCTTAACTGACAAAGCCCATAACTGTCTCCTGGTACAGGCTTTTTGTAATGACAACTGCAACTCCTTACTGGCAAACCTCCCTGCACTCACATTCAAACCCCTTTCGATGATCCACAATGCATCAGCCCATGTGGTCTTCAACCAACCCAAAACAGCACATCACTCCTCTGTTCATTTCTCTTCACTGGCTTCCAGTCACATCATGTTCCAGTCCCTACTTCTCCCCTTCCTCTACCACAAAGAGAGTTTTACCAGGTCTTAGTATTTATTTCTGCATTTCTTTTGGCTGAAAACTCAGATAGATGCTCAAAGACAGCGTGTTCCTTCATGATATATATATTTAAACAGTGTCATAATCCCCCCCTAGCTTTATTCTTTTATTGTTAAAACTTTTTGTTCCAGCTTTATCTGCTTCATCAGTACAGCCCATTCAAGTTAAGACTCCTACAATGCAACGATTGTAATCATTCTCAGTTCAGACTTTCCAAATTTGCAGGACTGCCGACTGTCTTGAACCTACGGAGAGATAATGAGCTTCATGAAAAGGTTTCTACTGTTGAAAGCTTTTTATTCATTGCGAGGCATTATTACTGAAATAGAGCCATGTCTTTTTAGGAGACAGAAAGGAGCTAGTTATAAACTATAAAAATAGCTGAAACAAATCATGAAAAGTGATTCACTGCTGACAGGGATAGATGTCAAACCAAGTGATTAAAGGCTCTCGCATTCTGGGGGGTGGGGGTATCCAGGCTCAGCTACTTATGTCATGAAATCTAAGAGATTATTTGCTGCTTCTTCATCTTCCAAGATCAAGAGTTGATCATCACCCAAAAACACACACACAAACACACAACATGATCTCTAACTTAAAGGACATACTTAAAGATCTGTACTAAAAAGCATTCTCTGAAAAGTCCAGAAACTGTTATCTAGAAACTTTAAACTTGTCATAAAATAGTCATTAAAAAGGCCGATGAGCAGTGACAGAAGTCTGATCCTATGAAGTTCCAATATACCGACGGTTTTCAGACATGCCATAGCACACTTAAACTCCGCTCTATTCAAGGCTGTTATGAAAATCAAAGCTGCATATCAGCCCATGAGTTCAGGATCTCTTCAGTGACATCCTGACAAATAGAAGAAAAAAACTTGAAATAATAACAATCAAAGTTGTGGCCTCTTCAAAGTTTAGATTTTTTTCCAACATTTTATCCCTCTGGGTGTCAAAGATGCATCCAGATGAGTCTAGTTTGTGTTTGCAGCAGATTGTTTGACCCTGTTTGACAGGCAATTGGTCAGGCCTCCCATGAGCCCCACCCCTCTGCACAGATGGGTGGGTCAGCTGCTTGGCTTGTATAAAGCTGGACTCACAGGCTGCTGTAGTAAACACTCCACGCGAGGCTCACTTAGAGACAAGAACTTTGAACCTGTGGTGCTACGAAACCCAACCCTCACCAACAGACAGACAGACAGACACCTGTCAGAATCTGAAATGGCTACCTTCGTGTCGGTGAGTTTTCCATTTCATCATCAGTCATAACTCTCGACAGCTTAGCTCAGACTTGCTAACCTCTGAAGTTGTGGTCTGTTCTGACCAGTTTGAACCTTGTGCAACTCTGGATGGCTTAATGGGTTTAAGTTACTGAAGAAGAATCCTTAACTAACACTTAATGGCACTTTTGGCTGCACTTTTTACAGTTTAGAAAGTTTCCTCCAGAGAGGAAAGTTTAACCACTTTACTATTAGAGTGACTATTAGAGTTGGTTTAATCTTCTCAGCCCTGAAATTAAATAAATAAGCTGCTCCTTGTAGCTTCGGGTCAGCTCTTCATTGGGATAATGTGATTGTCTCTAGATTGTTTTGTGTACTTCAGCTGATGGTGTTGTCTTTGATTGTGAATACTTGGCAGAAAGTCAGTGAGAGTGCAGGCCAAATGTTGTTGATTTATAAGATTGATTTTTGCAAATACCACAGCAGTAAAGCGTTTTTCTCATCTGTTCTAGGACCAGCAATAACACCCAAGTGTTGAAACAGGATTTGCGCTTCATTTAGCTCTTATTGATTTGTTGGTCATGATTCACTCTATGTAAACCCTCTGACACACATGTACTGCAGTTTCTCCTACTCTCAGTCTAGTTAAATGCACTTTAACTTGTTCACTGGCACACATGACAACCGCAGACAGGAGTTTTGGATGCCATGTGTTGTCTTGAATCATGTGGATCCAGTGAAATGGCAGTCAGGTCTCATAACTCTTGCAAGTGTGCATACTTTGCCTAATATAGGATCTTATGTAATCTTGGCCTGGAAAGTGTCTGTAATTTGTTTGAAAGTCAAGTACAAACTCCTAAAAGTGTCGCCTCATTATGATTAACAAGGTTTTATTGTAGCAGCAGAAGTAGATGCAGTGGTTGTTGTGTCCTTAAACTGATCAAACTGCATGGCAACAGTCCTCTCTTGCTCTCCTAGAGGCTGTTTCCCAATAATTCTGCGTTTACTAATTCAGTTATTTTCTTACATGTACAAACTTAAGGGGGAATTAGTAGTAGCCTTGTTTTTATTATTTATTTTTGTTTCCTGGACCTCTTTGTGAACTTTTCCTCGGAGGTACATGGATCTGCGTCACCATGGGCACACGAGCACCTCTCATTACAGCCCATTTGCCCTCCACATAGGTGTGTAATCCTGCTCTCTGCACTCCTCGGGTGATTTCATCATCCCAATCGATGTGCAGACTGAGTCAAAACAAACTCCTGGATGTCCCAGAGGAAGACTGACAGCTGGGTCACGTCCCTGAAATATAACCCAATCAAATAGACATATTTTTTATTTGTAGAACCCGCTGAATATTTCTGAGACAAATCCCCATGTAAACGGCTCGTGCGCTCTACCTGGAAACCTTATTATGTATGAGAGAATAATAGAAGCAGGCCATGCAGAATTAATGAATCTGTTCCTCTTCTCATCCCAGATGGCCACTTGCCACACTTGCAACACGACATCCAGACACAGAGGCATACATAGGGAGTTCATCCCTAACTTCTCCAAGACCCACAGTACACCAGGGAGCGCTGGCAAATACAAGACTCCTCAGTCGACCGGCAGAAGCAACACGAACACCCCGAAGACGCCCGGGAAAGACAAGACACCTGTTCATACACCAAGGTGAGTTATTTAAAGGTGGCTTTATTTATATCCTCCTGAGCTAAAATTTAAGATACAACTTTCCTTGACTAAATTTGGGAGGCGACACAGAAATCTGAGAGGATACGGTGTCAGGCATGTTAGCATATGAATGATTTAGTTTCTATTTATTCAGCATAAGATGAACTGCAACCAGCCGGAGGTAGAGCCAGATCATGTGGATGCTGAAAGCTCACTTGTAACTATTCCTGCCAGCCAAAAAAATATGCTGTAACTCGATTCTAACTCATATCCATCTTTCTTTTTCCCCTTGTTTTTTTTCCGTCAGGTCCTCCATCTCCTCCAACACTTCAGGCTCGAGCTCATCATCCTCCAAACCTGCTTCCAAACCAAAAAACTGGGTCGTCCAGCGTCTCAGTAAGATCCTCATGCGAGAAGACAACCCGGGGGGCAAAAAAGGGGGTTTAAAAGATTTCCTCTCCTCACTTTGAAATGTTCTCAATCTGATCTTGTGTTTATGCTGACTCTTCAAAAAAACAAGGGTTCAGACCTGTGTCGTAACCTGTTTACACAGAAGGCTAAGGGGGAACTTGAGAAAGTTTCTTAGTTTCCGAGCTGGAGTGGGAAGGGTTACAGTTTGCCCACCAACACGACTATTGCTGGGCTGTTTGGAATGGCACTCCTGGTATCCTGAACGCAGCAATGAGAGCACTGGGCAGGTTGTTTCAACTGTTAATCAGGGTTACTGCCTCGTTTATTGAACCAATCAGAGGAGAGTGCTTCATTTTGTCTATTTAAGCACATGCCTCTTAAGTTCCCTACATTTGGGGGACTTTTTAAGTGAAATACTTTAATATGAAAATACTTTGTTTATACCAAATAGCTGCAACATTGAAGAAAACCCAACTTTGTTTTGTGGTGGCTTTTGGGACACAACAAGCTAGTTTACATGCTGATTTCTTTCTCTTTATTACTATTTTTTAACTTACACATTTTTTAGAAAAAAGATGAATTCATGCAACTTCATGTGATTTTTCTTTTGTATTGAAAATTCTCTACTCTCCTAAAGTTTTGGCCCTCTCCAGTGGGGAGGTGTGTGTCTTCAGATAATTTTGGTATCACAAACGTATAAGTATTGTTGCCACTGTTGCTTTTTTTGTATGTGCGTTTATATTCAAAGTGTGCACAGCTGCCTGTGAAGATATTTGTTACTATTGTCTAAAATGGGACTCATCAGATTCTGTTTACAATGATCAGGCTCGTCTGCCTGAAACCTCACTGACTGTCAATGAGTCAGGACTTTATTTTTTTTTTTCTTTTAGTGCTTTCTTTGACTAAATCTTTTTGTAAGGTTACACTCTTCAACTTTTGTGAAGAGCAGGAATTTAAAATGTCTGCTGAGTTCTTACTGCTTGATTGCCTGTCTTTTCTCAAGTAGCTGTTCAATGTGCAGTATGTGTTAAAATCCTGAAATACCTCACATTTGTATTCCACCGACACAAAACTCTGAATTAAAACTTTTGAAGTCTGTGAATCTTTGGTGTTTATTCCTTTATTTTTACTGCCATGTGAACCCAGTGCCTCAAAAGTTTGTTTTTGTAGACTTGAAATTCATGTTTAATCATTCTACTTCTAATAAGGATGCTTTCAGGATTATTCACTGGTAACCCCACTCTGCTTTCTTTTCAACTTTGTAACTCAGTGACTCTGTTGAGTTAAGGAGCATTTCATGTGCCAAACTTTTCTCTCAAGATAAAAAGCATAACAAGTAAACTGCTCATTTAAAGATAACAGTTATACAAATACAAACTGGTAAAGTGAACCCGTGTGAAGGTGAATCATTTTGGTCATTTATAAAAGTGAGCAAAGTGTGAAGTTTTCAGCTGAACTCTGCCTTTCTCAGAAAGTATCAGTGAGACTGTTGGATAGCAGATCTTGTTTTTTTGCCCTTGTTTGAAAGTAACTTACTTTGACTCAGTGGAAAAATGAGACCAGTGAGGATTCTTTGTGAATATTGATATTTTAGGTGGTGGAATGAATTAATGAGAGGAGTTTATACGTTTCCTTTTTGTTGTTACGTGTGAAATGTTTTGGGGTGGAAATAAATTAACATTTACAAATGTATAACATGAACCTAACTCCAATTTTGATCAGTAATGACTAACTTATATGTTGTGGTGATATTTTTGTTGGGATAGGGGATCATAAACAGGACCCTGCAGTGGAAATATAGAATAACAACAATTATTCCACAATAAATAAGTAAACAGAAACAACGCTGAACTTAATAAAAAAAGTGTTATTAGAGAAATTACGGTGTCAATAAAGGCACTGCTTAATAAAGAGTTTGGGGAAGCCATTGTGTAATTACCTTATTTAATGTAACATTTTTTAAGTTTTATTTAATAAACTATATGAATAATATGTCACTTAAGAAACAGGTTTGCTATACTAAATGAAGGGACATTAAAATAAAGGAAATAGCGAGGTACTAAGAGAAAAACTAAATAAATATGTGCAAAAGTTTTACAAAACTAAGAGTAGAGTGTAAGTAAAAATTATGAAAGGGCATGTTTATGTTTCTTATTCAGTATGCTTAAGTGCATATTTGTACGTTTATTTGAGTAAAAAATAAAAAAAATAGATGTTTGAAACCCAAATCATTTAAATGTTTGTTTGTTTTTTCTCACTGTGTACATCAACAATATATGTGGGGTGGCAAAAAAATACCGGAATATTTTATAAATAAAATCACGCAGGATTTTTACTTTTCGGACCGTTTGATGAGCATATCGACAAGGCAGCGTTCAATCACTTCTTTGTCAGCCTTGTGTTACTGCGCATGTCCTGCAGGTGGCGCTGGACTTTAACTAACCAACCCTGCTGCACAGGAAGTATACTGCAGCACTGGAGACATGTTCGCTAGATAGTTAGCCGCTGGCTAGCTCGCTGAACGCCATTTCTTTCCAAATAATAAACTAAGTAACATGTAATTTATCATCATTTATAAGTTTATAATCTTCCGGCAGGAGAGTTTGTCGATATTAGCAGAATGTCAAGCAGGAAGCGAAGTAAAGAGAAGGGGGAGAGACGAGACCACAAGAGACCCAAAACATCCAGAGAGGATTTGGAGAAACTGAAAACACATACGAAGAAACTGAACCAAGAAGTCCAGAAATTGAAACACGTGGAGACTTTGTAAGTAAGAGCTGCAAAACGACTATTCCTCACTCTGCTTATAAACTTGTGCATGAATTATAAATGTCATTTAACCAATTTTTAGTCATGTAAACAAACTGAACTAATGTTGCATCAGCTAAGAGTTAGGTTTACCTGTCTCTATATACAGTGGATATAAAAGGTCTACACACCCCTGTTCAACTACCAGGTTATAGTGATGTAAGAAAATGACAGCAGGATAAATACTTTGACAACTTTTTCCACCTTTTAATGTGACCTATAACCTGTACAATGCAATTGAAAAACAAACTGAAACCTTTCAGGGGAAAAATAGAAAAGTTAGAATAACCTGGTTGCAGAAATATGCACACCCTTAAACTAATACTTTGTTGCGGCACTTTTGGCTTTTATTACAGCACTCAGTCTTTTTGGGTAGGAGTCGATCAGCGTGGCACATCTTAATGTGGCAATATTTGCCCACTCTTCTTTGCAAAACCGCTCCAAATCTGACAGATTGCGAGGGCATCTCCTGTGCACAGCCCTCTTCAGATCACCCCACAAATGTTCGATGGGATTCAGGTCTGGACTCCGGCTGGGCCATTCAAGGTCTCAATCTTATTCCGGTGAAGCCATTCTTTTGTCGATTTAGATGTGTGCTTTAGGTCATTGTCATGCTGAAAGATAAAGTTTCTCTTCATCTTCAGCTTTCTAGCAGAAGGCTGAAGGTTTTGTGCCAACACTGACTGGTATTTGGAACTGTTCATAATTCCCTCCACCCTGACTAAAGCACCAGTTCCAGCTGAAGAAAAACAGCCCCAAAGCATGATGCTGCCATGACCATGCTTCACTGTGGGTATGGTGTTCTTTTGGCGATGAGCAGTGTTGATTTTGCGCCAAATATACCTTTTGAAATTATGTCCAAAAAGTTCAACTTTGGTTTCATCAGACCATAGACATTTTCCCACATGTGTTTGGGAGATTTCAGATGTCTTTTTGCAAAATTAAGCCGGGCTTTGATGTTTTTCTTTGTAAGATAGGGTTTCTGTCTTGTCACCCTACCCCATAGCCCAGACATATGAAGACAGAAGGAGATTGTTGTCACATGTACTACACTGCCAGTACTTGCCAGAAATTCCTGCAGCTCCTTCAGTGTTGCTGTCGGCCTCCTGGTAGCCTCCCCTTCTTGTCTTATCATCAATTTTGGACGGACGTCGTGTTCTTCGTATGTCACCGTTGTGCCATATTTTCTCCACTTGATGATGACGGTCTTTACTGTGTTCCATGGTATATTTAATTCCTTGGAAATTCTTTTGTAGCCTCACCTGACTGATATCTTTGAATAATGAGATCCCTCTGATGCTTTGGAAGCTCTCTGTGGACCATGGCTTGTGCTGGAAGATGTGGCTACAAAAATGTCAGGAAAAGCTACTAGAACAGCTGAACTTTATTTGGGGTTGATCAGAGGCACTTTAATTGGTGACAGGTGTGTGCTGACTCCAATTTAACCTGAGTTTGAATGTTCTTGGTTAAATCTGAACACAGCCACATCACCAGTTATTAAAGGGTGTGCACACTTATGCAACCACATGATCTCAGTTGTTTATTTTTACTTCACCTCCCTGAAAGATTTCTGTTTGTTTTTCAATTGTGTGGTACAGGTTATAGGTCACATTAAAGGTGGAAGAAGTTGTGTATTTATTTACCTTGATTAAATTTTTTTACATGAAAAAAACGGGCAGTTGAACAGGCGTATGTAGACTTTTTATATCCACTGTATATATTTATCTGTATAAAAACAAAGTTTGACAGAGTTACTGCACAAGAATTAACATGTTCTTTCTGTCCTGCAGCTATGAGAAACCTCCCCCTGGATTAATAAAGGTAACTTTGCTCACTCCGATCCATGGTTTACAGGAGCAGGATTGTTGTGGACTCAACACATCCTGTCAAAATTCACCCAGAGAAAAGTCTGGAAGTGACCTCTGTTTTTGCAGGAGCATGAGGACAAACCAGAGGACTGTATCCCAGCTGAACCTGGAAATGAAGAAGCCAGGAGCTTCTTGGCTCACGCCCCCACCAAGGGGCTGTGGATGCCTCTGGGGAAGGAGGTGAAGGTGATGCAGTGTAAGTACTGGGACATTCACACAGACAGACAGCTATACAAAAGTGCAGCTTACAGCCCAGTCTGTGAAACTGAGGTCAAAACTGGATAGTCTGGACACTGAACAGAGCACAGAAGTAGGAAATAAATGTCCAACATGAAGTTTATCTTTATATTATATTAGAATATAAAGCAGTCATCAATATTCTGTTAAAACTTGGTGAGTACTTTATCTTAAAAATGTCTTTAAAGCTCCTGTGAGGATGTCTTGACCTTTATGAGATAGACTGAAATTCATTTTGATGCCTCTTCATGTTAACCAAAAGCAAACAAGACCATCAGCAACAAGATACACAATTTATGTACTGTAATTTTAAAAACCTGATTCTGGTGTTAGGTAGTAGGTGTAAAACATGGCCCTGATCTTACAATTCCCACATGAAATATTCACAATAAATGATATCTGTAACTGTCAAAAGTCACATACATGGGATGAGATTTGTTGTCAGAAGTCGCTCTTTCAGCTTGTAACAGAGAAGATAAGTGAAAGCTGCTTCGTTCATAGGGGACGCCAAACTTGACACAGACTGAAAGCTTCTTTAAACGTGGCTTTAAATAATAAAATCAAGTTACTCTAATGGTTTAGGTCTGATATTTAATGTGGACCCAAAACTGAACTGGGAGTACCTCTTTTAAAAAACACCTCTTTGTGTTTACCTCAAGCATGTGAAATGAGAACCATGAAAAAGCTCCTGACACATCACAAATAATTGTCATAATGTACCAGCTGCAGGAGCGCGCGGAGCACTTTAAGTTGAAGAACTACAGGCGGGGCAAACCTCCATCCTGCATTGGCTGCAGTCTTAAAAAGTGTATAAACGAAACCACAAACACAGAATCACTAACACCACATCTGTTGTTCTCTGACAAACACGGAGGACCAGATATGAATATTAATAAATGAGTTGTGGAGACCACCTTCTGTGTCTTTGGTCAGACAAAGACTTCTTTTTCTGTTCGGTGGCGGCCCATTTCTTCATCCCACTCCTCTTCATCTTACTGCTTGAACAGACAAGCTTTGTAAGTCCTTGAACACACACAAACACAGAGCCATGTTGACTTGATAGCATTTGTTCTACTGAATCTAAACATGACTTGCTCTGCTTAATCCTTTAAGGAAATATTTGACATCCTCCTGTTTGATTCAATGAAGAGACTTTGCAGTAAATTATATGCACGACTAAGTAAATGAATCAGCACATAAACTGCTTATAGAGGACAAACAGAGAGTCTGTCTGATCTCACTTTACAAAGACTCAAGTTTACCTCGGTAGCTCCGCTGCAGCCTCAAGTGGAATGATTAAAACAGTGTGAATGTGACACAACTTCTTCACTCCACACAGTCAAGCACAAGAGAGGAATTGTGTGAGGAGGTCTGTCTTTCATTTGGAAGCATTTTGCAATTCATGTTGCAAGGCTGTTTGAGAGAGTGAGTGATTTAAGTTGCAAAAAGGAACAATCCTACATTAAGTTTTGTGAGCCTGTGAGGGATGTAGCAGTTAGATGTGTTGATGGTACATTGATAATCTGAGTAATTATTATTCATTTAAGCTCCTATCAGGAGATTTTTGACATTTATGAAATAGCCTAAAATTCATAAAGCCTTTTTCTGTTATCAAAAAGAGGTAAGACCATCAGCGTCAAGATTTAAGAGTTTTTCATCCTCATTTTTGATAGGATAAGTGTCAATCGAGCAGCTGGAGAAACAGCCTTAGTAACTAAATTTATGAATAAAACTTATAAACAGTTAAACTTGCCAGAAGTCAGCAGGGTGAGGTTTTTAAATCAAAAATAACTAAAGCATGTTGAGGACAAGTAAAACAAAGTCTGCTATGTCCACAGGGGGGCGCCAAAATTGACACAAACCTAAAATTTCTTCTCAGGAGCTTTAAAAGAACATTCTGCAAAGCTTGATTTATTAGCTGATAGGCTCATATTTTAATCCTAACCAACTCTTCATGTGAAATAAATCGGTTACTATCCATCTCCTTGAACATGTGCCACTGATTGGTATTCCTGCAGAGAAAGCTTCAAGTGTGGTTTGTTTGACCCTTTAGCTGCAATGTTTTTGCTCCATGTAAAGTCCTCCACACCGCCTCCATTTGTTTCATCTCGTAGCTACTTGGTCTCTCAGTTGTAGTGAAGCTAATGCAGCATATCCTCCATGTGTCTTGATAAACATGGCACATTAAGTTTGTCCAATAGTGTTGTATTTTTGCTTTCATTCTGTGTGGGTTGTGCCAAACATAATATAGACCATAAATTATATGGCTGTATAATATAATGTAGCCATTCAGAGAAGATGGAGGGCGGACGCCGATATGTTGCCAGTTTAATCAAAATACCACTAATCAACCTTAACAGCCGGTCCGTCTCTCTTGTTGTCAGAGAGTCTAGAACTTACTCAAATTGCTCATATGTGATCTAAGTTACAGCAACCCTTACCTCAGTCTCTTTCCAGAAACTAAAAGGCTGAAGTTTGCCCTCTTTGCTGCAGGTTGGAGATGTAAGCGCTACGGCCACAGGACAGGAGACAGGGAGTGTCCGTTCTTCATCAAAGGCAACCAGAAACTGGAGCAGTTCAGGGTGGTGAGTTTGTGAATCATTCAGAATAAAAGGAGCCCACACATAGTTATTTAGAGAATAATAGTCTGCAGTTGAATAATGTAGGTTTAGAGCTGTAAAAACAAGGTCAACGACAGACATTTGGTCTACGCTGAGGACCATGTGGGCAGCAGACGTCTTCCCACAGCCTGTGTGTCTTTAATGGAACAATACTGACTGCAGGCACACGCAGCCTCTGCAACGATTATCATAAATGCAGCTGTATCATATTTTCCTGACTTGTTTTGTCACAGGCAGCTTTTATAAAACGCTGACACAACACCAGAATCAGTAAAACCGTTTGAAAGTGTGGAGCTGGAATCATCAGAAGAACTCTCACTGTAAACAGAAGCTGTGTTTATGGCAGAGTGATAACTGAGTGTTTTTTCTTTAGGCGCACGAAGACCCGATGTACGACATCATACGGGAAAACAAACGAAACGAGAAAGAAACAAGGTACATACACACTTTTTGTTATCATGCACATCCTGTCAAAGAATCCGATTTCTGACTTTGACAGGCTGAAAGAAGAGAGAAAACCAGGTCTGACAGGAATGTGAGACATTCAAGAGCCTTTAGTTTTTCCTCTGTTTGTCATGGCATTGTGGGACGGTCTCCACTGACCCTGAATCTCTCTCTCTCGTGTAGGCTGGTTTCTCTGTGCCGGTTTCTCGCAAATAGTGTTTGACACCAGGATGTTTGAATCTGAGGTTTGCTCACGATTCGTTTGTGTCTATGCAAAGCAGTTTATACACACCCGTGCGCATGGAAAGGTTATTCAAAGGCCAGCGGTGCTTTGAGGATTCAGTTTTGTGTCTCTGTCAGAGTAAGTTTGGCATCATCTGGAAAGAGAAGTGAAACAGTCTGATTACTTCCAGAGGACTTGATTTTAAATCATTGATAGTTCTTCACTTCTTGCAGGTTACAGAGAGTTTCCCAATCGCAGAGAGACACTGAACATCCGCATCGGGTAGAAAAAAAGAGGCTAATTTAGCATCACAACGTCGATCTATTGTACTACTTTTCTTGTTGCTGTTTTTATTTGTGCTCTGCAGATTTTCAGGACTGTTTACATGAATTATAGATGCTGTTGCTGAGATTTGGCTCCCCACTTGCCTCTGCATGCCGCAGCTTTTGGCTGTAGTTTAATGTTGTTTTGTATTACACTGTGAATCTGAAGCCTGACAAAGATCCATGACTAAATGTTGTTTCAGAATCACTTTTTCATTCAGCGGCGCATTTGGAGAAACTGAAATCAGTAAGCCGAAGGAGGAAATTTATTTAAAATATTTATCTGCATGTCCTGGAGTGCTTCTCTAATGGGGTTCACTCTGAGGACTGGAGCTACGCTTCAAGGAGTAGCGTGACATCCCGAGTGTTCAGACGATCATTCTGCTCGGCGGGATCAAGCCGGCCGTAATGAGGCCTGATGGACTCCTTACAGGAGCGTGTCAGACTTCTCACAGGAACACTTTCATGGCTGAATGGCGAACAGGTTCTGGGTGTCTTCAGAAGTTGTACATTTTTGATACCTGCTCTCACTGCCAGCTCACTCCTCAAAGCTAATTAAGGCAGATGTTCCCTGACGACCTCCAGTACTGTATCCCTCCCATCCTCCTCCCCCCGCCTTCATCTCCCTTTCTGGAATTTCTCACTAAGTTTGATGAGTAACACGCTCAAATAAGAGTTTCATGGTATCGCAGTGTAATGATCACAGCTGTCAAGGTCTCTTTGAGAATCAGACAGTGTGGACACTAATTAAAGGCACTGTGAGGAGTTTTTTTACTGGTTCAGAGTAAAACTGGTCCTCTTTATAACCTTCAAAACCACACCAGACCATCAGCAGCAGTTCTGACACTTTTTCTTTTCTTTTTGAATCCCTGAAACTGTCATGAGGAGGAAGCTGTCAGACCAGGTGATTGAAGAAACAACCATATAGTTTTATTCATGGCAACCACTCTGTTTATGTCTGAAAACCACTTTCACATGTACAAGATGAGATAAGAGACGTCTCTTTGTCCACAGGGGGCGCCAGAGACAAACAAACTTCAAGTTCCTCACTGTAGCTTTAAAGCCCCTATGAGGAGCTCTGCAGGTTCCCTCTGTACGGCTCGTTTTTTAAATTATGTTGTCCTGTACATGAACAGAAAGTGTCTCTGACTTCACTGGGGGGAAAAGTGCCTTTCAACTTTTCAACTGCAGGTTTTTTACGCCGGAACTAGGTATCTTTTGAGGAACTCTGCATTTAAGCCATAGGTGCAAGAATCTAAATTCAGGGGGTTGTACTTTCTAATGGCCCAGGGACTTAAGGGGTAAAAACAGGTTGTGGATTGTGAGAAGGGAGAGGAGATATCCTGTCCTGGATTGTCTAAAGCATCAAAAATCACTTCTTCAAACACGACTTCTTGTGGCTGATTGTGTGTTTTACTTTGATTTTCTGGTCCGTCTCTTGTATAACCAGCTTAAACACCTCACAGTGGCTTTATTCTCTCAGAGGACCATCGTTTTAAAATTAGTCCCAGCTCCAGTTCTGTCTTTAAGTGGGAGGGATGACTGGATCGTTGGCGTGTGTCCCTGTTTTCTCTTGAAATTCAGCAGCTTTCACTGGCACTTTAGCTGCTGGCAGTGACCATCAATATGTAACAGAAGAAGAAGAAGAAGGTACTTGGCTCAGTCCACTATCTGGAAACACCGGCATTAGGACTAAGATTTGATCTCGCCCGAGGCCGCTTGAGATGCTCGCCACTCCGGACATCCATCAGTTTGTTTCCTCTGTGTGCTTTAACCCCTCTCTTCCTCTGCTTCCTGTTTTGTAGGATCCAGCAGCTGCAGCAGCTGCTTCAGGACACCACCTCCTCCTCCTCCTCCTCCTCCTCATCCTCCGATTCAGACAACTCCTCCTCTTCCTCCTCCTCATCGTCCTCCGACCACCATCGAAAGAAAAGGAAGAAGATGAAAGAGAAGAAGAAGAAAGAGAAGAAGAAGAAGAAGAGGAAAAAGAAGCGAAAGCACAAGTCATCTAAAACCAGTGACTGCTCTGATTGAACTGAGCGTTTTGGACGTTGTGGCGTCCGCTCTCGTAACCTACACGGTTGGATGAAGACTGTGAATGATGTAGCTGCAGAGTCAGAATTGCACTCTAGGACATTTCTAAGCCGCCTCTCTGCAGGTTAAACCCCTAAAACTGTAAATCCAGTGCGCATGACTTCTCTCCGAGCTGACGGCTCGCATTAACGTCCTCTCTGTTAGCCACACAGCACCGGGTCATATGGAAACACTGCTTAAGTAAGTGTGTGTGCCATGGTGCATATGTGTGTCAAAAAGCATTAGCTGCATGGGTAATGAATCCGGAGTGATATGAAATGAGCCTGCTGCTCTCGGAGATAATGCTTCGTAGTATGAAAGCATGTCAGCAGATAGATACAGTGTGTTATTAAGAGATTGTATTTTCCACCTTATTTTTTTACTCCCGGCTGTCTCACTGCATTTAGATACTTTGATTGTAGAGTGTGTTTAAGGCAGAGTGGTGGAAAGTTTTAATTAAACGTTTGAGTACAGTTTAGACTTTGTTTTCCACACTAGCCCGAATGTTCGAATGCATGCGACTGTACATAAATATTTAGAATTATTTGAGGTTGGAATATGCTGATTTGCTCTGAAGAAGAAAAAAGAAAAGCCACGGAGGAGAGGAAAGAATGTCTGTGAGTGTTTTGCCTCATTCTGGGAATAAAGATCTCTCTCTCTCTCTCTCTTGTGTTTACCCAGCTTCAGGCTGCAAAAACAACCATGTTTATAATCTCAGCCTTGATTTGAGGCGTGTAGGAGCGTCGTCTTCTCGCTATAACTTAATCTTTTCACTCGCATAAGTCTGGTCATTAAAAACTTGACAGTCCAGTCCTGCGCTGACCTTCCGAAGAGCTCCAGAACATTTCTCTTTTCATCTCGTTCAGCTGGCGGTCCGCGGATGCTTCAGAGACTATTTCTCAAAAATCATTTCACAGTCTGTGACTTACGCAACACTGAGCGATCCCCCCTCTCTGTGCTAAGCAACCAGCAACAACTTATCAAGTCAGGCAGCACAGACCAGCTTCACAGTAGCTTCTTCTTGCCCCTTTAGGCTGCGTATGAGGATGTCTGGTGCTTTTCTCCTTCGCTGGCTGCACAGTTTGAACAGGAATCCCTGTGGAAATGCACCACAAACATTCCCTCTTCCTAATGACCCTGATAGAGACACAATTACAGAAGACCTACAGGGAAAAGGCAAACCAGATTTTCATTTAGATTTGTGTCTGAGGCTTTCTAAAGAGCTTGAGTGCTGCAGGGAGGGTGTGCGTTTATGAGCAAAATTACAATTTCATCAAAGAGTGACAGATTAGACGGCCAAGAGAGCATTCTGGAGGCTGATTGAGGCCGTATTTACCCTGTTTTTTTCTCTTATTTCCATCTTTTCTCACTTTCCAATAACAGAATATAACCCAGCTGCAGTCAAAACACTCTGTCATGTTTCTTTTTCATCTCTTTAGCAGAACAATGAATCTCCCAGATGAGGTCCAGTCACAGAGGGAGGTTGCGCCACGTAGAGAGAATTTGGTCAGTGAAGCCTTTTTCTTTTTCTTTTTTTATTGAAACACTCCGTCTTCTTGGACAGGGGACAGGTCAGATTGAGTGCCAGGCCAGACTCGCTGTTCAGATTGTGTTTGAGGAGGAACATATGTTCAGAAAACGAGTTGAATCAATCTCTATAGAGCTAAGAGTTATACAAACAGGTAAGAATGGCAGCTAACGCCGGAGTATAAAAGACAGCAATCCACGGCTTACCTTGTAAGGGTGACTCTGCATTTTATTGGCTCCGGAGCCACATTGTACTGCAATATGAGTCAGCACTTTCACTTTTAAACCATAGGATCTGGCTTAAAACTATCCTCTGCTTCTTTGCTGTCTCAGATAAAAAGATTAACTCCTCTATGAACTTCCCGATGACTGCCAGAGTCACTGAAGTCCACCAAGCTTAACAATGGGAGGAGATCTGGGGGGAAATCATGTGCCAGTTGTGCTGCTTTAAAGTTCAGACTATCCAATCTACCACAGCCTGCAAAAATTAAAACAAAATGTCACATGTAGAAGTATTTTAGTCAAAGTATGATAGCATTTTAAGCAGATCCCTCAAAACATTTCCTTCCTGCTTTTCCAAATTGTGTCTCACTGAGTTGAATAATCTGTTTTCTTTCTGTTATTTGTAGGTCAGACCTCCACATCCTGCATCTGTAGTCAAATTACCAGTTTAATAGAGGACACAAGCTGTCATTTAAATTTATTTATTATTATCCTGGGATTTCTGCTGGGTGTGTCGCTCCAGATTATTTACCAGGACAGAGACAGACAGGGCTCCTGCATTAATCCTTCTCCTGCTGCTCCTGCTGAGCGGAGACAAGAATGAGCGGCTGCAGTCTCTTACTCGTATTCAGAAACACACACATACACATACACACACTCACTTTAACTTTAATAATACCAGCAACTGGATGAAATCAGGACAAAATTAATGGCAGTGGCCCCGTGGTGCATCGCTGCTATACTGTGATTTAGCCCCTGTTCTGTCCTATGCAATAAAGCACAATGTTGCATTATGTTGAATGGGTCACTGCAGAGCTATTTCAAACCCGCTCCCAACTTAATGCAACATTAGAAGGTTATAATCCCACCCTGCACGCATTTCTGTGTGTGAGGAGACCAGAGGCCATTCAATAACCATGAATTATTGAGTGCATTGTTCCTGTCTGTGTTCCCCTCTTGGCTGTAAGATTGGAGATAGTCCAGTTGTGTCTTTGTGCCCCAAACAAAGAAATCTTCAACTGTCTGAGAGTTTATTTAGGCATTATTGCTGTTAAATCTCCAAAATTTTCCTGCATCTATTACAAATGCTGGTGAAGCTGCTGCCCACAAGGGGAGCTAAGGGCTGGTTTAAAGATTTCACTGGATATCATCTACCATGAAAAAGGAATCAAACATCTATGAAAACTTTTTTACAATGTGATATCTATACACATAGACTGAATGTAAATGAAAGCGTGGTTGTTCAGAAGCTTTTATGTACAAATGAAGAATGAAAACCAGCTGTTAAGAGTCTTTGAAAAACTTCCTCTGTGGCCATATTTTCCCCAAAGGTAAGTCAGTAAACAACACACCATCAGGATAAGGAAGGGGATGAGGGCCTCAAGGTCAGAGTTCTTTAAATACTCACTTTTTCTCAAAATTTAAAAGTTTAGAAGTGAGAATTTGCTGGCACTGAAAACTCTGTCTCAACTGGATTCTGACTTTTCTTTTCAGTTTTTCTGACTGTAAGAATTCTGAAATTCATAATCCTGACATTTTTTTCTGAAGCTGTTCAACTTTAAGTCAAAATTGTGGGAAAAAAATCACTTTGATATTAGAATTATGAGGAAAAAATGATCAGAATCATAACCATAATCTTGAAAAAAAAAGTCAGAATTTAATTTTTTTTCCCCAAGAAGTCTGATTTCTCAGAATTATGAGATTTACCCCAACAGATATTTCACTCTAAACTCAAAATTCTGAGAAAATTTAAAGAGTTAATTTAGAAAAAAGAAAGGATAAAAACGTTTACTGAATTACTTTTTAGTGGCAATTATTCTGATCGGTAGTTCAGGGAAACTGAGAAAGAAAAATGTTTACTGTTTTTCATTTCAATAATTTGTGATAGCCTATTGATATCACTGGGAACAACAGAAAACATCCGGATGTACCTTTTAACATTCAAGTTTTTGTGCTCCTTTTTTTTGCTTGTGGGGGGGGCGGTTACATACGTTTCAACAGGATGTAAAAATTAATGAAATAATTAAAAATATCATGAACATAGAAAAAACGTTTCTTGATAATCTGCCACGGAGCGTCAGTGTGCGTCCTCCTGTTGAGCATGTAGGGTGCACGAGGAGGCTGAATGACATCACATCTACAGCTGTTTCTGATTGGCGGGGATGTTAAATTGTAATTGCCAAAATACTGAACTAATTAACTGCACCTGCCAAAAATCAGACAAACCAACGCCTTTGAATGCAGAGTACTTTTGAATTCAAGCACAGAAGAGTGTTTTTAAGGTTTTTACATGAGTTTGTTTACAGTTAATCGCTAACTGAGTGCCGTCTGAATGCTTGTAACAAACTTAAAAGCTGTTAAAATTAACCTAACCATCATAAATACGGTATAGGATCAGCTCTCGGTAAACGGTGCCTCCATGCGCCCTCAGCCAGTCTGTCTGGCATCATCGCGCCAACCAGCAGACGGCAGAAGAAAAGAGGAAGTGGAAACATCAGCACTATCTCTCCGGTGGAGGAGAGAGAGGGAGGGAGAGAGAGAAAACACTACTAACACACACACATTCACAACACACACACAAACTCCGGCTCCGGCTTTGGTGGGAGAAGTGTCCTCGCTTCGTCAGGTTTGTCAAAGCTTTCTCGTTTTTCCTGCAGAGATGTTCGCGCTGAGCTGGATTTTCGCTTTTTTGCGTCTTGAGCTCAGTGTTGACGATGTTAGCGAGCGTGTGTGTTTGTGTGTTAAATTGCTGCGAGATAACACTGTGTTACCTCTGGTGTTCATGTTTCTGTGGATAATCGCTCCCTTTTCCCTCTTTACTTTTGGCCTTAGCTGCTTTGGGCGCTGTTCTTTATTGACATGCATCAGATACCAACATCACAGCTCACTCTGCTCTCACTAACACAAACAGAGACTCACGAATCAAACAGAGAGGAGATTCATGAATCTTTCTTAAATTTATTTCCTGGTTAGGAAACAAGTGCGCGTTTAAGCTGCAAGTTGTGTGTTTGCAGCAGTGAAGAGGTAGAAGAAGGCGAAGCTGCTGCTGCTGCTGCTGCTGCTGCTCACCGGCTTGTTTGCTCAGTGCATGCCGCTCGCTTGATGCACAAAGTGGTGCGTTTATAGAAACCTCCCTTTTTACCCCAACACTGCTAATTAAAGAGCTGCTTTATCGGTGTGCGGTATGCAACTGCAGCCCAGCATGCTGGCCA